TGATTATGTACAAAGAAATAAAAAACTTACATAGTAGGGAGTAAGGAAAAAAACTTAATTTTCTTTGTTTAGAAATAGATAGCCTGTCTCAAACAATTTTTCTCCATTTTTCTTTAAGTATATATTTTTTATTTATTTATTTAATATTAGTATATTTCTAACTACGATTTAATTACGACGCTGGTGAGCAAACTACACTATTATCAGTAATTTTACGGAATCCTGGTACATCTATAAACTCTATGGACTAGGATTAGACCTACATGTTTTTGAAGTACTGGTTACGGTCGACATAGTTTAATTAATATACCGAAGTTTATCTAATAACTAATAAGCTAAAGGTGGGTTCTGACCTGTTCATTTCGTTAAAGCATTTTGATCAATTCAGTGATATTGAAGAAATATTGGATATGAGAACTGAGACTGTTATAATTATATTATTATTCAGTTGTTAATTTTCATTAAAAAACTATAGAGATTTTTTGACATTTTCCAAGTATATTTAGTTACAGGATATTATTTTTATCGAAAATGGTAGCTGGTTTCTGTATTTTATTTATAAAACAGATTTTTAAGTTTTTTCTTTATAAATAGTTCATGTAATAAAAGTTCTGTTTTTTTATATTGATTTGTAATTTAGTGGGAAATAGAATAATATAAATATGTAAAGAAACACTGGTGTAAACTTGGCGATTAATTTTTAGCTACGAATTTTCGGAAATAATAACAATAATAATAAAGAATTTGTGAAATTGTCATTAAATTCTTTTTTATTATTATTTTGTTAGATTAAGCACTTAATTACAAATAATTATCTTTTATTCATTTAGTGTGTTCTCAAAATAAAATAAAATTTATGTGTCTGATCTTTAAATGACTTTTATTCAAAAAAAATTGTTGTGTAAGATATTTCAAATATTATGTTTCCGAGTAGGAAATTGCAAGATTTATCAAAATCAAGAAAAGAAATTGCGGTTACTATTTAAAAAAATTGTCAATGACGTCACTGCCCAAAAATGAGAAGTGGGGGAAAATTGAATTCTATTTAAAAAATTGCGCTTTAAGTAAACAAAATTGACCTGTCTGAGCATTTTTTCGAAAAACCAACTACTTCCATTTTAATGAATTTATTCCTTTCGTTTGAACCATACTGTATAATCTACGTATACATAAGCTTATAATACCTAACTTTAACGGAAAAAACTAATTACTTAAAAGTGATGAAGATATATATGAAAATATGAATACAGTAATGTATGATGTATGGATAATCCAAACTTCCTTTAATCCGACATACTCTATAATCCGGACGCCCAAATTGCGTAAAATGATATCCATAATCTGAACCCTTGAACCCTAAATTTCGTAATCCGAACAAACATGTACGTGCACGTGCTACTTTAGTTTGTTTTTATTTCGAAAAACATACCTACTTATGTATATAAATCAGACAACCCAGCGAGACGTGTAACTCAATATATTTTTTTTGTTCGTTAAAAGTTGTTTGGGCGATTGTAACCACAACCAGTCTATGCTATGATGGCACCAATAGTAAATAGCAAGAAAATTTAAATTGCTTTAGGGCAGAAAATTCAAACATGGATTCAGAAATAGTTTTTCTATACAAATTTACAGGAGAAACAAAAACTATTGTTTCACTGTTTATTAAAAAATGTAAAAGCTTCCAATAACATCAAATTTTTTATTATACAGTGCTTCTCAAAAGTCCCCTCCCCCCTCTTTTTTTTTGAACGGTGATACTTAGACTGATAAAATTTGGAGGGTGAAAATTAACTATTGTAAGCTTCTCTACTATTGGTAATAGGTGACGTAATAGGCATCGGTGACGTCACCAGACAACTGAAACCAATAATATTAAATGGGACCTTATGGAAAGTGACACCTCGTTTGAAAGGTATTTAGAATACCTATTCAATCATACTATTTTTTTTTGATTTACGATATTTTTAATGGTTAAAATAAATAAACACTAAAATTTGAGTTTCGTTTTTAATTAATAAAGATTCAAAAGTCCACCTATGGTTAATTGTCAAAAAAGCAGAAATTTTTTTAATAGACGTTTTTACCGGCGATAATATCTTGAATTTTTAGTTTAATTATTAATTCAATATCTACATAAACAAAATGGTATGTGCTTTAGCTGACAAAGTAACAGCAATCTTAATTATTGGTGAAAGTGGAAATAATTTTCATGCGGCGGAACGCATTTTTAATGAGAGATACCCCGATCGCCCTATATCGAGGACTTATTTGAGGGAGCTTTTTCATAAGTTTCAACAAACAGGTAGTGTTCATGATGCCAAACGATCGGGTCGACCAAATATTGGTATTAATCAACAAATTGATATAGTTGCAGAAATTGTAGTAAACCCTACTTCTTCCACAGCCTAAGTAGCGTCTACCTTTGGAGTTAGTACAGTACACAGGGTGTTGACCAATAACAAATTCCACCCATACAAATTAAAAATGGTGCATCAACTTTCAGATGACGACCCTGACCGAAGGCTGGAATTCTGTGAAAATATGTCCACTAAAATTCTCCAACAGCCAGACTATGTAAGGACAATTTGTTTTAGTGACGAAAGTACTTTCTTCCTTAATGGAAATGTTAATACTCAAAATGTGAGGTATTGTAGCGACATAAATCCTCACATGTTTCGTGAAAAACATACACAGTTCCCATTAAAAGTAAATGTCTAGGCAGGTATTTTGGGAAACCACATAGTCGGGCCTTTTTTTTTGAACTCTAATTTAACCGGTGAGGTATATCTCGAGATGTTAGAAGACGCAATTGAAGCATTAATTCTTCAAATTCTGGAAGATAATCAGATGAATTTGGTAACTTGGAAATAACGTTCCAACAAGATGGTGCTCCTGCACACTATTACTTTGCAGTAAGACGTTATTTAGATGAGGAATATCCTGGTAGATGGATTGGACGACGCGGTCCAATAGAATGGCCAGCTCGGTCACCGGACCTAACACCTCTAGATTTTTTTCTGTGGGGATATATTAAATCTAAAGTTTACGCTACAGCTCCTGAGAGTATTGACGTTTTAAAACAACGAATTGTTGAAGAATGTAGGGCAATTTCCCCTGACACATTTAATCGAGTCCGACAAGAGTTTAATAATAGGATGTTTTACTGTCAGCAAGTAGATGGAGCACATTTTGAACAATAATTATAAGAACTTGTTCTTAAATATGTATTAATTAAAAGCGAAACTCAAATTTTAGTGTTTATTTATTTTAACCATCAAAAACATCGTAAATAAAAAAAAATAGTATTAGTGAATAGGTATTCTAAATGCCTTTCAAACGAGGTGTCACTTGCCATAAGGTCCCATTTAATATTATTGGTTTCAGTTGTCTGGTGACGTCACCAATACCTATTACGTCACCTATTACCAATAGTAAAGAAACTTACAATAGTTCATTTTCACCCTCCAAATTTCATCAGTCTAAGTATCACCGTTCAAAAGAAAAGAAGGGGGGAGGGGACTTTTGAGAAGCAGTGTATAAATAATCATTTTAATAAAGGAAGTTTTAATCAGTTTAATATAAGCAGTGAACATAGTTTTTTATTATTCTTGTAAATTAAAATAAGTAGCTTTTAAATATTTTCTTAGTTATATTAAATATTATATAACTATATTATATTAAATTTTAATTTAATAGATTCAATAAAAATTTGTGGAAATAGGAATTTAAATTTAAAATTTGAGTAGTAAAATCATCAGCCGACAAATAAAAATTTTATAGTTGAAATTAATGTGTAAACGAATTATAAGAAATCAGATTTACTTACAAGTTGTTTTCAGGGAAAAAAAATTAAATTTTTATACATTGGATATGAATGACAAGTGTACTAAATCTTAAAGAATATACGAGGTTATGAATAAGGAAAGAAATAGACAAAAAAATTAAAAATTATTATTTAGAATCCATAGTTAACGTATGTCCATTTCCCAACGAATCGCCCTGTATGTATAACGTTATAACCTTCTAAGCTGTATAAAGTGTCATCTAGAAGTTTCAAAGTCAATGAGCACACTTGGTGAATAGATTCCAACACCCTTTATTTATTTAATTATCTTCATTTTGTTACCCTTCCGTATTGGCTTAATTTGATATTGTGGTCTTATCGATTCGATCCTTCATGCTGATAATTCAAGTTGATTATAACCGAATTTTCCCAGCTGACTCTAATATAGCTTAGCTCATTTTCTATTAGAGACACTAATTAATTTCGTTTCAATAATTTTATTATTATAATCAGTTAAATTAGATATTGTGCGTTCAACAAGATTTCTTGGTCAAGCAAGTTCATTAGGTGTATATGTATTTACTCGTACATACTGATTTTCATTTGTGCTCTGAAAGTCTACTTAATTTTATAAAAATCAAAAAATATGTAGAGAGTCAACTGAATGAACTACCTGTTACACAAAAACAGATAAATTTTATAAAGCCATTTGCTATCAGTCATCCCCTAATTGCCCTAATCCTTAATACCTAGTAGTTTAGAAAGCAAAATACCCACTTGGTTAATATTTCGTTGTAAAATGCAGGTACAATTGAAAAATATTGTAATGTTAACACAATAATGATAAATAAGCACTATTTTATTTTTAAATATGCATTATTTTAGATATGCAATATAAAATTCTGCACTAAATATGCAGGCATGCACTTTATATGCATTTTGCATATAATCCAAGCTCCAGTCATTAGTAATTTTAAAATTTTCAACCCTGTATTTCGGAAACGAGTAACATTTAACCTAAACATGTTTCGTTTAATCGTACTATTTTTAATCAGAGAATCTTCAGTTGTTCTATGTCCCGTTCATAATGGGTCTGTTCCAACACACGCGAAAACCATATTACGGTTCAAATCATGCGCTATATACACTTTTTGCATAGAAGCGCATGATTTTTACCGTAATATTATGGTTTTTACGTGTTTTGGAAGAATAACTTCATAAATTTAGTTTTTCCATTCTAACTAATAAGAAATATTAAATAAGTAGTAGATAATATTCGTTATTGCGATACCTGCGGATACATCTTAGATAGTAATTATTGTTGGGTTTATCCATATTTGTTTCCAAATAGTAGACTATTATTATAATACTCGTATCGCATCAATGAAACAACTACGTTTGTGATTTATCTCTCTACTAATACTTGTAATTAATTTAACAACTAAAGACGATTTATGCTACAAACTGGTTTAGTTGAATCTCGGCATTATACAGCTTTATTTTAAGGTATTTTATAAACATTTTAATTCACGTGTGTGGCATCGATGAGAATATGAAAACGTTTTTCGTGATTACTTTATCTTTTACTGGTAAGTACCTAGGTATTTAATAATTTTGTGGTTTGAAAATTTGTTCTTGTAATTATTATTAGATAATGGGTAACGAGCTAAATAATCTTCTTCATTATTTTAAACAACTTATTTTAGTAGGTATACCTACCTGTTTCGATTTGTAAATGATAAAATCAAACTCAAAAAATATCATTGTTATGTAACATATAATTAAGGTAACAACAATGATCTGGGTAATTTTATTGTTAAAATGTGGAAGCTTTTTAGTAAATATGTATTACAATTATTATCTTCTTAAATATTTTTAAAAAATTAATAACTTTTTTTGGTATACTATATCCAACAAAATTAATTAATAAACCAACAATATTTTATGCTTTTCAACTTTATTTACTTGATACTAAATGCCTATACAGGCTGTTTTTCCAACAAACTATAAGGGATTCCTATTGTCAAATTAGGTTTCTTCCATTTTTAATATACCTCGTGTTAAAGTTTAAAAAAGCTTGTTTTGAATATTTTGGGGTCTATTCTGTAAAAATTCCTTTATATTTAACGGCCTTTAAAAATATGTTCATCTTTAATTCGGTAACTATTTAAACGGATCTTTAAAATACATTAGAGGACTATCTTAAAGAAATCTGTTTAAATAATGATAGAAGTAAATTAACGAATACAAATATACTTTTAAAGGCCGCCAATATTTTTAAAGGCCGTTAAATATAAAGGAATTGTTACAGAATAGACCTCATTATCCTGCAAGATTTACAGGGCTGTGAAACTTTGTAGGTAGTCATATCCGAAATCTTCAATGTGATCTAGAAAGAAATTGAATACAAATTTTACTTTTATTTCAAATTTGTCTCAGATACTTCAGTGACATTGTTTTGGTGTTTGGTGTACTGTTGATGTCATTAATATTAATTTTAGCTTTGCCATCTAGTAACATCAATTGTAGTTTAGGTACATAAAGTAAACATTAGGTAGCTACATTTATTAACTATCGAAAAGAACTAATATGTTTCTTGTGATGATATCGAAGTATCCGAATCATCTTCGAGGACTTGAGCTATAGCTATTGGACCTGTTTTCAGTTGTTTCATAATTTTCTTTCTGATTCGTGTACTTATGCTGAAGTAGGGTTTAGTTCTTGATTAGAATTATTTGAAATTTTACTAGTATTTGTACTTTGTACTTTTTACTTTTCGATTCAATACTACAATGGAATATGAACGGGTTTTACGCCAGTTTCGAACTATTTAAAACTCTAATATCAGAAACCTCTCCTTCCATTATTTGCCTACAAGAGACCAACTTTAAAGACCAAAAATCACATAGCCTAAAAAATTATTTCTGCTTTTATAAAAACAGATACAACCCTAACAAAGCCAGCGGAGGTGTATATATATACACTCTTACCTAATGTCTAAAGAAAAACCAACCTGTGTGTAATATTTGCAATATAAATATTACTGTCGAACATTTATTAATAGACTGTCCAAAATTTGTCAACGAAATATCAAACAATAACTTACTAAATAATTTATCTTCATTGTTAGAAGAAAACTGTCATGTTCAAAATATTGTTAAAAACTTAAAAGACATCCATATTTTTCACAAACTGTCTGACAAGTCGCTAATAACTCTGTGCAGTTGATGCGACATATTTCTTTAAAATAAAAAAAATTATTAACTATGTAATTAAATTTAATAAAATGTACAAGGTCCTTGTAATGAGCTATTTAAATAGAAATGTATATACTTCATTGTGTTATTTGTTTCCTAGAAGCAAGATCGAATTGAATGAACATCACCAAGTAAACTGTAACCGCTCCCACAATCTGCAACAGAATCAATTAATTACAAGCCTTACTTTGCTGGTACAATAAAATTGTTGATAGAAATTGCAAACAAATACATTAATGGAAATAAATTATTCCAGCAACCTCAAAGTATGTGTGTATGAGAGAAGTCATATAATGCTTGCAACACATTAATTTGTAATTTGTCACAGATTTGCCTGGAGGTACCGTTCTTGATAAAGAGAAGGATGGCTTTGCTGTTTAATGCCAGATCTGTGTTTTGCTTAAAATATTTGACAGTTAAGTTATGGGCTAAAGCGTTTAATACAACTGTACATGTTCTTAACAGAAAGGGTTCTACATCAGTCGTTAAGAAGTCACTAGAACTATGGAGAGGCAATCGAAAAGTGTCAAAGGTCGTTAAGTTGGCTATTGTAGAGATAAAGATGGATATAGAGTCTGGCTTCATGATAAAAACTAAGTAATTACTAGTAGAGGTTTGATTATTCAATCTGAAGAGGCCTCTGATCAGAAAGAATTATTTCTTGAACGCTAAAGAAATCTTTCCGTAGAATTTTTTGCTAAATAAGATGCTAATGATGAACCAAACATGAATATAGAAAGAACTGATATCGTAAGTAGTAAGTAGGTGAATAACAAGAAGATATAGAATAAGAATCAGTAGAAAATGGCGATACAAAAAAGTAAGCGTGAAAGTCAAAACCATCTTACTTGAAAAATTGTGTACTTTTGACAGAAAGTGACGATACACCAGTGTCCTATGAGGAATCAATACATTCTGATGACGCTGAAAACTGGAAGTGAGCTATGAAAGACGAAATGCAATCATTAATGGAAAACAACACGTCGATTATAATCGACTTATCATCAGGACTCAAGCTTATATCTAATCGATGGATTGTACGAATCAAAAGAATAGTAAAAGGTAGCATAGATAGATATAAAGCTAGACTGGTAGCTAAGGGATATAGTCAGACAGTAGGGATTGATTACGAGGAAACATTGTTGCTGATTTCGACACTGTCAAAGCAGTTTTAAGTATTTCAGCATCACAGACATTAAATCTTCGTCAATTCGACGATAAGGCTGCATTTCTCTGTGGTAAACTTATCACACAACCTGAGAGCTTTGACGATAGCATCGCAAGAGTATGTATATTAAATCGAAATCTATATGGACTGAAGCAAACCCCGAAATGCTGGTGTGAAAGATTATTGGAATTTTAATCACATTAAAAATAATCGAAATTGGTTGATTGCTACATATGTAGATTATGGATTTTTCACTAGAAAAGAGTGTGGACTGTAGGTACTTGGTACTGAATTTAAAATAACTGTGGGTGCTCTTGACAATTATCTTGGAATCCAAATACAATAGTTGAAAATGATGATATTTTTTTAGTCAAAAAATTTATTACGCTTATTTGTACGCAGCTTAATTCGCAGTGTTCGTTTGGTAGAAAATTGTGGTGAAACTAAAAAAACTAAAACCAATCTCCACAGTTTAGCGAAACTAATTAGCGTTTATCTAAAAGAAACTCTTGGAATTTTATCGGTTTTATTAAAGTATTTATGTTCCTAGCTTGTTTGACTACTAAATTCTTTGAAATAAACGCGAAAGCAGAGTAAATTTCGGCGTGTGATGTAAATTAATTTTCCAAGAACCTTTCAAGTATCTGGTAATACAATTTCAATAGAGTATCGATCCATTTAAGACGTTGTTTTTGCGCTTTAAATCTTACCGATGCTATTTTTCGAGAGAAAAATAAAAATATTTGGAAATTTACAGCCAACAAAGCTTTTATGAGAACACTTAAGTAATATTCTAGAACAGGGGTCGGCAACCTTATAAGAAAAGTTTTTTTTCAATGACAGATTTTTTTAAAATTTAATGTCATTTTATGCAAAATTTTGTTTTAACACTTTTGTCTACTTCACCATGTTGCAAGAATGCTTGTTCAATCTCTCAATAGCGAATCCCATAACTGTAGTTTAGACTGTGCGTAATTTGAAGTTCATATCATTCAAAGAGATCCCATTCTCAAACTTTTAAATTTTAATGAACATTGTTGCAAGCGGCTGTTAATTAAAATGTATTCACTTTCTTATAATAAATATAATAAAAGTATGCTTACCATTAGAAGAAGAGAACAATTAATGCTAAAAAATCCGCATGCAGTAATATCAAACTGTTTGTGCATAATATGAAGGGAAAATAAATTGATCTGGAAGAAAATAATAAAAAAAGTTTAAACAGAAATTAATTTTTCATTGGGAATGATAAGGAAACAGTGCTAACAAGTAGTTTCCATTATTTTTCATACTTTTCTGAATAGGTAACAATGCAAAACCAACTAAGAAAAATGAATTCAATATAAAATCCAATGTACATCATTGATGACGTCAGTCATGCTTTGGTAAGATACGATTACACTAAAAAGAACACATCTACGTCATAACCATTATTTTAAATTTTAAATACAACATAGTATCTATAACTATCAATAAATAAAGAATAAGTTGTTGGGTATAAATATTCCTATAATATTTACATACCACTAAAATCCAAGTAGGCGTGGAATAGCCAATGAATTACTTTGCCAAATGATGACGTAGCTGTGTTCATTTTATTATAATCGGACCCTACCACACACAATTAATAAATTCGGACGCATATATTTTGTTTTCTAAAGATTGTGTATTACAAATTAATGTTTTAACATGTCATAGTAGTGCTGATATCTTTTAAATTGTTAGGGTACCCATAATCTAACAGTTATATTTCCAGCCCTAAATTATTATTCACTATAATATTCAGTGTTTTTTAATATTTCCAGTATTGTACCCAATAATGCATTTCAATAAATGAGTGAAGGATTATTCGTACAAATGATGTATACATATCAAATTCGATTATTTGGAATAGATGGAGTCTATTTAATAGATATTATGTTACTGGATTCATAACAGGATCCAACGATCATTAATTTCCGTTTTGGTTATTTTATATACAGGGTGACAAATTTCAATTGTAAAACGACTGTGACAGACGGACAGACACAAAGCATAAGTGTTTCTTGTTGCCAAATTTGGGTACTAACGCGCAAATTACTTGAAAAATTCTTTGTTTTTATCTTACAAATTTTACCGTTTTTCATGTTGCGTCTTTTTCAAATTTAAATTTGATATTGTTTTATCACGAGAGAAACGAGATGAGACGAGACAAGACGAGAGAAAGGTTCTTTTGAGCGAGAGAAACGCCTTCTCGTCGAGACGAGAGAACAGTTTTCTCTCGCCCTACGAGACGAGAGAGATCTCTCTCTCATCTCGTCTTGTCTTGCGGCATCACTAATTTTGTAACATCTTGCGTACTTAATGCTGTTGTTTAGTTTATTATTTTTCTGTCCGAACCATCTGTTAATAGAATAACTTACCCTTCTCATTAAAGTTTTGTTATTTCTGTTAACTGGAATCTGAAAAATAATTTTGCCAGTATATTTGGACTCGGATATAGTTAACTGACATACAATTGCTGTAACCAATAACTGGCCTACTGGATGTAGCAGCGATATTAAGGGAACAAGTAAACTATGAAAAGAATTGGGTTTGATGTAGTTACCATTGATATAGTAACCAAAAAAGCAAAAATATAACGAACTAAAAATCGATATAAACTGATTAGCTATCACTAATAGTAACGAAAGCGAGTAGATATTATTGATTTCTTCGCCTATTCTAAGTATTTCTTCATACAGTTCCTTTAACCTATCTAGAGTATTAATTCGCTGCATTTCTTTAACTAAGTTTAAAGGAGACGTAACATTTTCTTCTACCAAATGTAAAATATTACCATTCAAGATACTAAGCTGTTTATAAACAACGCTCATCTGACACACAAACCGTGCCAAATTTATATCAAAAACTTTCGTAATGGTGAACATTATTATCCATGCTCCGAAGCATTCCATATTATTACTTTTGCAAGTAGTAACGTAACTTAACAAAAAATAGGCCCAAGAATTAATCGTACATATAATGTATGCGTAAGCAAATTTTTTAATACTGTTATAATTGATATCCTTCGGATACTTTTTAAGCTTTTTGTTCACTTCATATAAATCTTTCATCACGATTAGTAGACGGTTTTCGTAGTATAAGCTTGTGAAAATGCACCCCAATGCTGCAGCAATGCTTGACAATCCATTTAAAATGTCGCCGGCTTGAATAACGACATTCTTTGTTGGATCTAGTTCGCTTTCAAAATTATAAATTGACAGATACATTATAATGGTAATTGACGTTGTCCAATAAATGCACTTTCTTATTTTTCTCGATATCGAAGAACTTCTTTTTAAAATTTTCGTTCTGATTGAACTAAAACAAAGTCCGAACATTTGACCCAATACCCAGACAGAGAGAGTGGATTTTATCACGTCGTCTTCCGACATTTTTAATGCAACAAGAAAGGTGCGTGAAAGGATTGAAAAATAATGGTTTGTTTATAACTGACATAATAATTGATCATGAATAATTCATTTTTGTAACTATTAATCAAAGAATATGTCCAGCGGTCTCTGATTTTCTTCAAGGGTGACATGTTGAAATAATATTTCCTCGAATAGTTTGATTGATAGCTTTAATTCTTTTTCATTATGTGTTTATACTTTATTATTACTAAGCTGTGGAATTATTTTACAAAATAGGTGAATAATGTAAACCTTTCTAATAAAACAAGGGTAGGGTGGATGAAGTGCATATACCGGGTAGGGTGGCAAAAATAATGTTTTATCATGTAAAATGGCTTTTTAAATACCAATATGATCTATCACTCGCCATTTAAATGAGAAGCTCCCACACCTATTTTTATCACTTTACGATAATTTGAATTATGAGGGGGATTATGTTAACCCTTACAGGGAAGATTTGCACGGCCCCGCGTATTCCCTCCAAAGGGCCGGGTCGAATGGTCCGAGACCAAGGTAATGTATGAAGATATTCATGCAATCATAAATATTACTACTCCAGTTACATTAGAACGAATATAAAGCCATTTGTAACACATACAGGGTGGAGCATCCTATACACGTCGGTTCAGACTGACATGATTTTTTTTAATTAATTTTATACAGGAAGATGAATATCAATTGGAACTTTAATTTAAAAATATTTTACAATTTACAGTGTGTCTCAAAAGGTTTATATCTGAAAAGAATTAACATTGAAAAATTCTAAACATTACAACCGTTTTAATTACTTAGTAACAATAGACCCATCTGGGTCGTAGTGGAAGGCCATAATTCGGATTCAAAATTTCGTCCTTGGTCAGAATGTAATTCCAGGGGGGCTCCGTGTCTCGCAATGACGTTCGTCATAAATGCTTCCGCTTGTCGTCGCTTCCTGATTAGGAATAGGCACTATTTCGGGCCACTTTGAAAAATAGACCATAACAACCATCAAGTATTTGTTTCCCCTTTATGTTAAAGGAAGTGGTCCGAGGATATCTACGGCGATTCGTTCGAAAGGCTCTCCAGAAAGGTACTGTGCTATTTTACCTCGACTTCTTGTTTTGGGCCCTTTTCTGCCATTACAAAGGTACCATTCCTCACACCAATCTTCTACATCCCGTCGGCAATTGATCCAATAAAATCTTTCCCGAACTCGTGCAAGTGTCCTTTTAGTACCAAAGTGTCCTCCTGAACGGCTGCTATGAAGCTCCTCCAACACACTTCTTACCTGTGATTTCGGCAGTATCAGTTGGCGGACTACATGTACTCCATCGAGGCTCTCCCACTTCCGGTACAATAGGCTATCGTGAAGATACAGGGAATCCCACTAAGTCCAGTACCCTTTAATGGTTCCACTATATTTGGCTCTCTTGGCATGTAGGTCTGACTCCATTTTTGAGCCATTCTCGGACAACCTTCAGGTCATTGTCTTTCTTTTCTTAGGCTTTCAAGGGTGATTCCGTTTTCATCATCCTCTGACTTGATAGTGGTCGCCTGAAGACTAACTTCATCAACCAGTTCCTCTCGGTCTCCAAGCTTTTTATAATTCCGACATTGTCGTTCTAAACAGGGTCGCCTGGAAAGAATGTCTGCGTTGCTATGGAGACGTCCCCTTCAATACACTATCTCGAAGTTGTATTGTTGCAGTCTTTCTATCCATCTAGCAACTTGTCCTTCAGGTTTTTTTAAATTCATAAGCCACTGCAAGGCGCTATGATCACTTCTAATGATAAAACTTCTGTTAAAAAGGTAAGTGTGGAAGTGTTCGAGGGCTTTGACAATAGCTACAAGTTCTTTTCTTGTGACGCAATAATTCTCAGCTTTTCCTAAGGTCTTACTAAAATATGCAATTAATTTCTCTTTCCCCTCCTGTTTAAAGGTAGCTGGGGCATACAGAGACCAAATGGGAAAACCTGGAATCTGTATAATCCCCTGCTAGTTGAAAAATCAGTTTTGTTTCGATCGTCAAGATGTACTTCCACTCCGCTCTTCAAATCTAGCGTGGAGAACCATTTTGCACCTGATAAGGTGTTTAATGCGTCATCTATTCGAAGGAATGGATAGCTGTCTTTTTGCGTTATCTGATTTAATCTTCTATAGTCTACCCCAGCTATTCTCAACCTCTGGTCCGGCGGACCATTAGTGGTCCGCGGAGAAATTTTACTGTCACGCAATTTACAGTCCGCAATTTTTGTTTAACAAATCTACTGGTCCGCGGGCCAAAAAAGGTTGAGAAACGCTGGTCTACACAGTAACGAGTAACTCAGTCTTTCTTGGTTACTAGGATCACAGGTGAGCACCAGGGACCAGAAGCTTCTTAAATAATATTTGTATCCATCATATCTTGTATCATATTTGCTACTTCTTTCTGTCTAATTGGCCTTGCATCGCCTGTATAAATTCTGTGCCTTTCCTTTTCTTCCTCTTCTTCCTTCCTACGCCTTTCCTTTTCCTCTTCTCGCCTTACTCTCTCCTCCTCTTCTTCCTTCCTACGCCGTTCCTTTTCCTCTTTTCGCCTTACTCTCTCCTCTTCCATCTTCAAAAACCATGCTGGTGGGCCTAAAGTATCCATATCTATTCCGTGCGCAGTGGATCTAATATTTACCATGAATAGAATGCTTGGGTAACATTTATTGTATATCCCACCGCTGTCACCAATGTTAAGTTGGCAGCACACTGTAGGGCAATGAGTAACAATATTATTAACTAATTTTTGAAAAAAATGGACCTGGCCAGTTTATGCACTGAATATTGCGATTCAGGATAATATAAAAAATAAAATCACAGTATCTTTCACCTACCTATTTAAATGCTAATTAATTTTTTTTATTCCAGTTTTATCATGCTGCCACTCTGCAACAACGGTGCTAAGAAATGGCGATATTATAGAAATAGAATCTCTTAATCCAAACAGCGGAAGGTCAGGTTACGAACTTGAAAAAGTTATTCAATTTTTTGGTAACAAACAGCCTGTTACATTCGAAATAGTAACAAACGAACGAGTTCCTGGTCCTTATCGAAACCAAATGCAATACTATAATAATGGTTACAATGAAAACAGACAGAGACCTATGTATAGACCCCAACAACCTCCCTATGGCTATGCTAATGGACAACAAAGTTTTTTACCACCAAATGCAGCTCATCAATATCCTCCACAATATAATCCTTATAATCGTCCACATCACGCTCATCATCATCACCATCAAATGCCGTTTGATTATAATCAACAACCAAATCAAAATCAACAAAATGGCAACAATTTTGTACTTACCAAACAACCTGCAAATCCAAATTATCCCAATTTTGAGGTATATACTGTAGACGTTACAAATACTGGAACAAATCAGTACCCTCATAATAACAACCAGTATCCTAATGCTGGGAATGATCAGTATGGTATGGTAGACAATCCAGATCCCAATACCAATAGCGGTGATATTCCTAATAATAGCGATGAAAATAAATCTGAAGAAAACATAAATGACAAAGTTGATGGTTATATTGATAGGTTTCCAGTTATTTTATTGAAAGAAAATGAAATCAGACGTTAGATATGTAATTACGTGTAGTGTGTCACTAAAGTTAATTTGTCAATAAACGATTCAAAATCCAATCAGTATACAATGGCACGTGAACAGCTCGTAGCAGTGTTAAATTTTGGTTTACTACTCCTGCAGTTGATGTACAATTGAGGTGTTAGCAATAGGTAACAGCCAACAACGATATGCGTCTCTTGCAGTCTCTCATTCACATGTTATCACGCCTCATGTTTACTGACTGAATCTCTTCTCGGCAAATTTATTCCCTATATTTTTTGTTATATTTATTGTATCTAGTATTACAGAATAAAATATAAACTATAACATGTATTCATCTATTATATGGCACTTCATTTTTTTAGAATTTTTTATAAAACTGATTAAGAAAAATAACAATACCAACAGCAATAAAAACTATAGTGCCTGGTAACATTTATAGCCTTACTATTATTTTTGTACTTTATGATATAAAATAAAACTTTTCTGTGAAAAATGTTGTCTTTACTGCTATCCTCAATCGCTTGATCTGAATACTACAGTTAGCTATTGCCATCCGGGTGAAAATAAACTATTTTTTTTAATTTTGACATATATATAATAATAATAATAATAATAATAATAATATAGTGACATTTTTTGTAATCGTAGCAAGTGTCAAAATGATTTCATTTCATTATGTCACTAGTTGCGAAAAGAAAACAAAAAATAAACATTTTTTTGTTTTAAAATCAATATGTACATTGTTGTTGAATGTTTACATCGAAAAAAGGAAGGTTTGCTATAAAAATAGATTTTGTGAGTAAACTTCCAACCTGGTAATAATTCTGTTTTGGTACTTATTTTTCATTAAAAAATACACGTCAAAATAACTTAACAACTAAATAATTTTAACAAGCTAGATAAACGCCCTACAACAATTATATGATTTTCTATTTTTTAAATATGTCAATAAAATAAATGAAGTTATGCAAATAACATACGAAAGTAATATTGGTTGCATAGATGGTAGTCATTTTTTACCATATACACTTTAATACATAATCTAGGCCAGAATCTCAGGCTAGTAGGGTGAGGGGACGTAAAACACCCAAAAGGGTCGCTTCCGAAGAGGAGATTGACCTAATAACACATGTCAGACTATCTGTCGAACTTAATAAAATCTAGCCAAGATTTCATTACTGCCAAACGAGGCATAATTAAGGAAAACTTTGTCAGATCGCAAGTAAAGCCACCTCAAACTTCGAGTACCAAGACCATCCAGGTCAACAAAAAACCGCAAAAAAGGTCAAGATCAGAATGCAACACTCCCTCTGCAAATCGGAAAATGGAAAAGAAGGTCAAAACTGAAGGGTTAACTTTTAAAAAATTCTTTACCGTTAAGAAAATCGCAATGATGAGAACCAGTTTTCCAGAGGCACTCATGGAAACGGAGCAGCAAAAGCTGCTGAAGAATCCATTCTAAATGCCTACGAAGGTATTCCCATTGAAGAAAAAACTATGTTGCCAAAGTAAGGGCAAGTTTGGTTAAATCAAGTTATTATGAGCCCCTAAATGTGATAGCTCTATATTGTCGTCCAGTCCTGCTCTATGACATCATTCAGTCTACTTACTACGAGACATTCAAGAATGCGAGAAGTTACTGGAAAGATATGATGCGCACGTGCCTATTCATAGACGAAAGGCATCTAGAACATCGAGAGTCTTCGGGACAGGCCTGATACGTCCAATTTTTTATAAACAGGGCGACTTTGTCTAGTTAGTCAGTTGATAGAACGAGTTTGTTGTATAAAGATCTATTGTTTCAAATATAATTAGTGCTGATGTAGAAAATAAGTAATTGGGATAAATTACTGTATAACCATGTTCCCTAGTAACACCGTTCTAGGGACTACTATGGTTCAGCATGCAGCCGTTTTTGCCAAGCAGAGACAAGTATATAAAGACCTCCAAAGGACCCCGCAATAATCTTATGGAAATTGGGTTTCTGTCAAATTGTCTGAATTTTTGATATGTTGTAGATTTTGTCATCCTAAGCAAAAGTCTCCATGGGCACAAAGTGCCAAAATGAATATTTTGGCAGCTACGGAGCTGCCAAAGCTTCCCTGACCCATTGCAAAACTATTCATTTTCAATACTATTTAGATGTAAAAGCATATTTTAATTATTCTAATATATAGGATAATGTTTTTGAGGTCACTGGATTCAACCCTCATGTCAGATTGGACAAATTGACCATTGACAGCTGTCAATTCACTGTCAACGAGGAATATAAAAGTAAATATCTTCTTTTCAATTGAGAGTTTGGGTTTTTGAGGTCGCTGAATTCAATTCTCATGTCAGATTGGACAAATTGATATTTTCTTAATGCTTCCTAAGCTTTTTCTTTATCAGATCTATTCGCGGTTCTATTTTTAATAGCAATGTCCTTACGAGTGAACCAATTCATACTGATCCTTCTTTTTAATTCGCCGTTTTCTACCAGACTATTTTTTCTTAATGAGCTAAACACGAATACTTTTTCTGTGTACAAAATAAATCAATTAAAATCGCACAAAATGTACAAGCCTTATCAGATATTATGTAGTCATATACGTGTGCGAATCATAAATATATAATTTCTTTTGAAATAAAAAAAATTCATAAAAATATTGTACAAAACCCATTTAAATAATGACTGGTATTTCTATAAACACGAATAATTTTTATTAACATTTCCCACTATAGATGATCTCATTTCACCTTGGTTTGATATTTGAAAAAATAGATTTAATTCTGACGTATCGCAATTAATTTTGACTAAAGATTTGTATATAATTTGGATTTTCCCAGGATTTACGAGGCGATGTTGGTATCTAGTTATCCTGAAAAGGTTCAAATAAACAGAATTGAAAATTAGTGAAAGATATCAGGAATAAATTCCAGAACCCCAGGAATAGTAATAAATTTAACAAAAATTGAAAAATTGATTCTGAAAAAAATGGGGGGATAAGGGGGTTGAAATATTGAAAAAAAATCCTAACTCGGAAACAAAAATGATATCAAATTGAAATGTTTAGGAAAAACAAGCATTATAAGGGGATCAAGCCTATTGATGCTGAAAAAAAAATGTAATTATATAATACAATATAGAATTCCAAGTATTATATATTATCTTCTTCCTAGATATAATTGTAAATATATACTGGGAAGAAATTCCACTGTCTATATACAATAAATTGCTACTTTATTAACAAATCCTAAAATCTGTACGAACTTATGGTATTCAGCTTTGGAGCTGTACCAAAGGAAGCAACACTCAGATCATGCAACGATTTCAAAACAATCTACAGGAATATCACCAATGCTCCTTGGTATTTCTGAAACAGTGACCTCCGTCAGGACCTGGAGATTGACACTGTTAACAAAACGATCACCAAGTTTGTCAAGAGTCCCGAACAGCAACTCCTAAGACATGTGAGTGTTGAGACCATCCACCTCCTCGACAACACCAACCAGACGAGAAGACTCAAGAATACAAAGTCATTTGAGTTAGTTCAGTAGATAAGAGTCCATGTAAAGCAGAGTACAGTGCAGTGCTTACACACTAGTGTTAGTGTCTATTTGTATTAGAGTCTAAGGAACTTCTATTGAGTAAGACCTTTAGTTTTAGGATTAAAATTAGTAAAATAAGTTAGTTTAAAATTGCTCATTAATCATTACCGATCAGATTATAATGCCTGCTAGGCTTTTTTTAAAAAAAGTTGCTATGGTCCGTTGGAAAATCACAAATGCTGAAAATGATGATTAGCTGACTGAGATAACAGTTTTAACATTGAATGTTTCGTCCTTTTTGAATAAATATTAAATTAATCAAAAAATGTTCACCTGTTTCTTTTTATATACAGGTTTGAGTTCAAAAACCGTACAAGTCCATACTCCATTTGTATCTGTCATTGGTAGTCCATTATATTTTCTGAAAAACCATCATTAAAAATAATACATTGCAAACCTGGAGATCTAAAACTTTTCTATACATGAAGATAGTCTATGTTAAGTAGTTTCAACGTTAAAATGTTTTTAATGTTTTTCTCGGAAAGCTAATTTTGGACATGTACGGTTTTCGAACTCATCGATTCAATTACAGATCCAAAGCCTTTTCTGATTATTGTATAACTTTGTACTATATTATTGTATAATCTGGTGGGCACTTTTTGGGCTAGTCCTGTCTGTGTCTAGAATAAAAAAAATTAGAAAAATAAATGTGGTGAGAAAATAGTTGTCTCCCTTCTGTTTAGGAAAACAAAATCAAATGATAGTGGAATAGCATATTTGATAAAAAAAAGCCGTAACAAGACTCGAATCCTTGTTCTGACTCACCCTATATGGCTGTTTTGTGATACTAATATAACCATTATGTCTTTAAGATAATATTATCGTATTCAGAATAGATTATGAAGATAAGACAATAATAAGGTCAGTGTAAGAAACTTATATTATTATTTTTTTTCGATTAGGGCTAAAATTTAGGGGGGTGGTTAAAGGTAATAAACCTCTTGCATATGATTTTTCATCCCAAAAAAATCCGGTGTACCAATTTTAAGCCATCTACTTAATATAACGACGAAAATATAATGAAAAACGTATTTTTTAAATTAACTTTGTCACCCTGTATATTGAACATGATAGCCCCAATGGAAAAAAATAATAATAGAGGTTTCTTACACTGACCTAAGGACATCCTGTATAATAACATATAATTAGTATTTGTAAATCATCCTGTATAACTGGATTTAGAAAATAGGACTCTTCGCTTCTACCCAAAGAAAATCGATGGACAAGGGATATTTTTCAAAATAATTATCGTATATAATCCACGTGCGTTTTGTTTAGTTAATGTTGCGTGACCTTAACACAAGAGTGGATGAACTTGACATGGAAGATAATCTCTCGATGCATTTCAGATGTGCATTTTTCATCCATCGCTTGCAAGCTATACAAACAGAGGCTGATTTGAATTTCGAAAATTGCTGAAAACTTTGAAAACTAAAAGCTCGGCTGCAATCGTAGTACTTCGTTGTTTAAAAAAAAATTGTTGAATATTACATTCGCTAAAGGTAATCGTGTCCATAAGTAATTCGATAGAGAATCTTGAAGGATGTTGCAAGTATGTATTGTTTTACTCTCGCTGGTAGCATCTGGTTTGGCAGGAAATTCAGGTGAGTTAGCGATGATCATTAATTTACATAATTATTTTAATTTTTGTTTTTATGCTTTGCTCATATTTATTATTTTGTAGTTTATATAATTTATTAAATTTTATAACGGAAGTATTTTTCGAAGACTGTACCCAAAATATTATTCCGAGTGGGATACCTAGTCAAATATTTGATGTATACAGGGTGATTCTAAGTTGATACATTTTTTATTGTAACTAGAAGTCGTTAAAATAAACTTTTTTTTCAAATAACTTTTTTCAAAAAACTCAAAAGTAAGGAAATTTTTTTATGCATAAATCATTTATAATTAATGGTATTATTTCGTTAGCGGATAATTTGCGAAAACATAGTGAAGGACATGTAGGATGACCGATACGAGAAGACAAGAAGTGCATTTATGTTGAGGTGAATGAACAGTAATGGATACATTTTGAAGTAAATTATTGTTTTTATTTTTGAGTTTTTTGAAAAGTTATTTGATAAAATTGTTTATTTTAATGATTTCTATACACAGTTAAAAAGAACTGTATACCTAGTGAAAAACAATAGTTCTCCTAATTTATTATTTGAATTTTTTGTCGTTGTTCCAGAGCGACTGTACAGGGTGAACCACCAGAAACTGCATCGATCCATATATCAGAAAATGAATATAGGAAAAATTTAAAAAATTGGAATTTTGCTAGAAGTCAATTTAGCTAAAATATTTTCATTTTGGATAACTAATCATACAGTGTATTCAAAAATAAGGTTTAAAATGATATTGAGAAAACTAACAAAAATGATACATAAAAAACTAACTAGAATTTTGAGTGGAATCTAAAAATGTAATGTATTTAAAATGAGGTCTATTTCCGGTGTAACCGGAAGTGTCCAATGGATGAAAGTATTTTAGCTGAATAGGTCCCAAAATATCTAACAAGTTCTCAATTTTTAAATTTTTCCTACAATCAGTTTCTGAAATAACGATTAATGCAATTCCTGGTGGTCCACCCCATATAAACTGTTCGCTAGCTGTATGAATCTGGCTCCCCGAAAGTCTAAAATTTTTTGTGGGATTGGGCCAACTTCACTGAGACAGGGCTCGTTTATTTTTTATATATCCCTGTTATAAACTGTAATAATCTTTTGAGATGATAGTAATAGTAATAATAGTTCAACATCTAATACATATTTGACATATTTATCTTCATGACACCGTGCTAAATTTAGTGACTCGATTTTTAAAATTGGTTCATTGAATTTAATAGTTTTCTTAGTAAGCTAATCTGCAATCTGGGTTTTCTCCATTTGGTGGTTGGTAACTATTATACACGCCGGCTGTGGTATGGAGCGTTATCCATAACAATAACAGATCCTGGTTACATTTTTAAAAGAATATCTGAAAACCATTTTTCATAATGTTCTGCATCCATTTCCTCATAATAATCTCCAGTCTTTTCAGAAACAAATGCGTTTAAACCTTCTTCAACAAATCCTGAGTCGCTACCAATATGAGTAATAATAATAAGGCGTTTTCCCTTCTCAGATAGGGCTTTTAAACCATCTACAAAAGCTTGATGTTTGTTTTTTACATTTAAATCCTGCCAAATTTTTGTCACAGTATGTCCTTGATTTAATCAGGTTTCATCTGTATAATATATTTTTCTGCTTCAGCCCCCATACAATTTTTCGTAAAGTTTCAGGACTGATTAATAAAATTTTCTCGTTTTCCCTTAATTTCACAACAATAGCTCTTTAATTAAAAAAAAAAGAATGTACAGTTCTTCGTATTATTTGTTTTTGGTTGTCGTGCAATGTTTGATACGCAGCCTATGCTGACTCTGTTACTTTTCGTCAAATTTTTCATTCATAAACAAAAGTGTTCATCGCGCATTTGACTTACCTTCTACAATATATTATTCTAGTATATTTTATTTTTTAGTTTTCTGATTGATGTTTTATTAATACATTTTTTATTTCGTTTCTCACATCTGTAGGGCAAAATAGGTGTTTTCTCTACCCTAATTAAATTTTAATAACAAATAATATAAATAATAATCTGTGCGGATCAGATTCATGAAGTAGGCATAATTTTCATGAAGTGGACAACATATAGACATAAATATCATATATATTACATATACATACTATATTTTGATATATCTGTCACAGAATAGGTAATATCCCTATTCTATATTTTTCTTGATAGTACAGATTTATTACTTTCAGTGGAGTAGCCAGCTATTTTTAATGGAAGGGGTTTCTGAAAACTATAAAAGGGGGGTTTCTATCAAAAAATAGTTAATAGCGATCAGCGTCAATACTATAGCGGAAAATGGTAACGCGAGGACCCTCCATGGGGTGGTTCTGACCCCCAAAACCGCCACTGATTACTTTGGTTATTTTTATTTATGAAATTTATATTTAGAAACTTTATTTCTTTTAATTTTATTCTCCACAGTTTAGTATAATATCAAAAATAATTGATAAATATGAAAAATAACATTTACGAATTTAAACAAATATGTGCATCAAAAGTTCAGCTAATTATATAATTTTGTAATCAATTTTATATGATAATAATAACCAACAGATAATTTTAATTTACAAATACGTAATTATATAATTCAAGGTTATTAGAATAGTGCGAACACTAAAATAGATTAATATATGTTTAAGCCCTTAATTTGTCAATACAGATTATTTGATTGTATTTATTTATTTTATCCTACATCACCTAAGCAGTTGTATTATACAATAATAAAAAGAAATTATTAATAAACAAATAATTCTTGAATTCATAATGTGGTAAGTGGTACGTGAACTAAGTAAAACGTTCTACAATAGAAGGTAAAAATTTACACAGAACATCAATGAAAACAGGAATTAATTTATTTCTTCTAATCATATTAGCCTTGCAATTAAATACACATGACCTAACTGATTTGGAATTGCCAATTATCTATATCGACTTCAGAGGTTTAGTGAACATGGATTCAGATCCTTGAGCTATCCTCGACAATCGCTAAAAAAGACGCTAATTAGGCATTCCAACGACCTGTCAAACAATAGCTGCCAGTGGAAAGGGCTTGTATATCTAAGGGTGTTGCGACTTAGCTTCCACACTATTTTTATTCGAAAAAGTAAATTTATGAAAAATGTATAATAATATTTTCATTGTGTTCCACATAAAATATTTAAATTTGATCCATTATTCATGATTTTACATGTTGTAGATAAAATACATCGTATGTCGCAACCCCTTAGATACACCAATCCTTCCCTAGACGGGCATTTTGTTTGGAATGCCTATTAGTACATGTCTTGCTTAATTTGTAACCTTACAATTAAAAAAAAACAGATCCAGCCTCCAGTTAAGTAAAAAAATGTTAAAATAGATTAAAAAGTTTTATCAATAGTTTTATTGCATCGTCAAATAATAATTTTTAAAACGGATCCGAAATCTGCATCAAATAAAAACATGTATACATTTTAGTAACATGGAAATACATTTAATATTCTGCTTTTGTAACATTCATTTTAATCATTTTAGAATACATTGTATAACTCGCCCATTAATTTTATGAAGCATTAAATTATTTGTAAAAATGAACAGGTTAAAATTGTATGAACTCTTGAAATAGATGTGTAATTACTGTTCCCTTCCTCACAAACAATTTCTATATAATTTAAAACATTATTTATTATGTAGTAAATAAAATAACATGACCGGTTTAAACTATCGTTCAACCGTGGCTACAGTTTATGGACTGATGTTACTTTTTGTCGCAGATCTTGCAAGTGGAAATGACATAGGAAGTAATAATGGTTACGGATATGGATATTCTGGAAGCTACTCAGGTACAGGCAACCCGCCAGAAAATTTTAATTTCCCACATTTCGATTTCAACAATTTATTTAGTAATTTTCAAAGGTTTCAACAAGATTTGCAAAGAAAGTAAGTCAAATAACATTTTTAACTTATTTTATAATCTATTCATCTTTTATTTGACTCCCAGTGGTTTTATTTTGAACTATTTATTACTATAACACTTTGCTGTTTATAAATTTTGAAAAAAAAATTATCTTAAGCCATCTGGGCAACAATAATTGTTTGACAAGTGAGCTCACTGCGGTTCATACTAACAGTATAACCGAATATCCCAAAAATCGTTGACTCTCCAACGCTACTGTTTCGCGATTTGTCACAATAAAAGGCCTACTATCAATTAGCATCAGAGTTATGCTAGTACTATAACTGCTGTATTAGATGGATAATGTGTTGAGGATCAAGCACCTCCAACAGCAATTTCATTACTATATGCTTGATCCTAAAGATCACTTATTATGTGTATATTATGTTTAACCAATAACAATATTCTGAATTCACCAAATCTGCCTTTAACTTTCTCTCAAAACTTCTGTATGGCTTCATCTGCTCTATTTTGGCGATGTCTTTGATTTTCCGTCTGTTATTTTGTTCCCCCTTTCGTAAAACTGTTTTTTCACATACTTTCAATTTATATTCATTCTGTTTTGTAATTATTCTTATTTCGCTTCCATATGCATATGATATTCACGGGTTTACTAAGATTTTGTTTGGTGCTGTTACTGCTACTCCAATATACTCACAAATCTTCTCCATTTTATTTTTTTCAGTAAAGCAATAGAGTTGTAGTTGTGAATTAAGTCTGGTCTTTGTATTTTAGTTTCCATCATTACCGCTGGGTGTCTAAATAAAAGTTCATGGATAGAAAATATAAGAAACGATTCGAATTTTACTAATAAAAAGGTGATGGTACTGGTTAAAGTATTTTTTCTTCTCACAATTTAATCTAAATACTTTATTTTTTATAAGAAAACGGTACCAAGAACTTTTGTTTACAGGGTGTTTCAATGGAAAAAGAAAATGAGTTAACGGTATTAGTAACCAAGATACAGGGTGTTTTATATAGTTTTTAATCAATTCTAAGTATATTTTCTTGATATTTGTCAAAACGACTGATGTACTATAACCAAAAGCAAATTTAGTTCCACCTCGGTGGTCTCTTCTTTTCAATTGTCAATGAATCGCCCTCTTTATATCTGTGATACACTGTATATCATTTAATTTAAATTATTTAATTTTTTTTTAATGAAAATATTATTTTATACATTATGTCAAATGTAAATTATCTCACGAATTAATAGCATTGCTTTTGTGCACATTAATATTTGCAGGCTTAACTTGTTTTATCCCGTCTGAAGTAATTTAGAAAGGTTAACAATATAGACAAAAGAGCTTCCATAATACAAACTTCGAGGGATTTTGGGCAAACAATTAGCTGTTTCGCACACAGCCACAAGTGTAGCAAAGTTCGTAAACACTTTTAACACATCTCTTGCCGGAGTATCAAAGAACTGAACTTACGAAACTTTTAACAACTTTGTTTTCCCACGCAATATATTCGGTTATATGGAGAAAATAAATGACAATAGAAAATTGATTGATGCGTGTTTTGTAGATTTAGATATTATTGTATCTCTAGAGTTTATAATTATCTTTCTGAGGCTAAAAGTTAGAAATAACTGTTTTATACATTTTGTGAGAATATTTTATCATGTATCAAAAAAAGTTTAGTAGGAAGGTGTAAAGGAAAAGGTCCTCTATTTCTCACAAAGTCAAACTTTTCTTTACATATGCCTACACTCACTCCTTATTAGCAAAAGTAGTGATGGCTATTACAGGACACAATGAGGAAATAAATAAATAATATTGAGTTTCCTACAAATACACAGTACATTATACAAAACCATATGTTGTTACTATCAACAGCAATATTGGGGACTGTACTATCAATAATATCTATGAAAAAATAATTAAAAAGTATGGACAATTACAAATAAAGTACTTACCACATAAAACTATAAATAAATTAATGGGAATAATTAATAAATGCACAAATAAAATCAAACGTTTATCAAAAGATGCATGAACGCAAGAGCATTTACAAGCTCCTAGAAAAATGAACATTTTATGGGATCAGAATCCAATGGTGTATTTAGAAACCATTTTGGCTTAGAAACATTAACTACTTTTCTTTTGACCCTTCCTTCAGGATTCCTTGCAAACAAATATTAGAAATTATTCAAATTCTTCTAAACCATCTTAAACTTCAATATTGATGGTAGTAAACGTAGTAAAATACGTAAGTACATAAACTAGAAAACAAGGAAGTGATGTTATAGAAGCTTTCTAGGACATCGAGGGAGCATTTGACAATACCTCCGTCAACTCCATCGTCAGCACTCTGAAACATAAAGGAATCGAGGACACATTGTGTGACCTAGATTGACTCTAAGCTAAGAGGCATGTAACCATTATGGGAGAGACGATAGCAGCTCGGGTTTCGAGTGGGTGCCCACAGGAAGAAGTACTGTCTCCATTCCTGTGGAACCTGTTAAGGAAATGCGTAGGACCTTCAAAAATATTGGACATAAAACCCTGGGATATGCGGATGATCTAAAAATCATAACCCAAGGTAAATACAACGACAAGGTCGTATGCAAGAGGCTCTAAAAGTAGTTACGAAATGGATAGAAGAGGATTAATCAAAATTGGTCCCAACAAATCTACCAAAATTGCATTTAGGCGCAGGAGAGAAAGTTAGAGGGACTATAACCGCTAAACATTCGAAGTGAAAATATCCAACTAAAGCAAAAGGTAAATTATTTAGGTGTTACAATTGGTGGAAAGACGCTCCTTTGGATAAAATGAAGACTGAAACCAGGTAAGGTATATTGGACATACAATATGGTGGTTAACGCCCGTATGCACCGTACACGTTTAATCCAGATCAAGGGTTTAATCGCGTTTAGTACCACTTTTAGCTATAGTACAAAACACGATTAAACCCTTGATCTGGATTAAACGTATACGATGCATACGGGCGTTAGACTGATAATGACATGCGCAGCTTTGGTGTAGTGACCAAATATACAACAAATAACGGCAATAAGTTATTTTGGAATAATGGGGACAATTAGAACAATTCGCACAGCAGCAATGGAAGCACTAACAGTATTGCCACCACTTTACTTTGTGATACAGGGCGAGGTAATATTAGGTGGTTAAAGATTAGATAACACCTTGGGAAATCTTAACATCTTAACACAAGGCTAGTGACAGAAGACGTGTGCTAGACATTCTAGCCGCAGTGCCCACTGCAAATTTCGGCCGTCATCTGATAATGAAAAATGCCTCAGGGGCATGTAAAAACATTGCACTTTACTGTACCAATCACTATTCTGAGCAAAATGATTAAAACAATGGCACCTCCGGTGTCATAATTAGCGAAAACTGTTATTTGATAACGATATAAGAATTATGTCACCAAATAACTAGTGAATAATAGAACTCAAAAATGTACCTGTGTTAATAACGGTACAGTGTATTTGAATGTGTAAATATTTTAAAAAAAGTTGTAGCAACTCTTATATAACTTTTTGTTACTTGGGGGTAGATTTAGTTACAAGCTTTCTCTTTAAAGGTAATGGTGGTGGTATGTATTCCTATTCGCATGCATCTAGCTCAAATGGAAAAGCTTATGCTTATTCTTCTGTATCGTTTAATAAAAACAGGTAGGTAATAAACATATTTATTCTTAATGTCAATAAACTTTGTTGCGATTTGTTACAGACAATACTCGCTCTATATGCTGCGTTTGAAAAGTACCTCGTTTTGCTTTCTTTTACTTAATACCGTTCTTTTAATACATTCAAGCTCAGTTTGCTACACTGATATGGTTTCCTCCATGTCACGTGTCCAAAAAATCTACTCTCTTCTCGAAGAGGTACATTTCAAACGTATCAATGGCTGTCTAACAGTTTTTTAGTATTCCCTCCATTAGTCGCATGTTTTGTTCCTACCACTATAAAAGCAATGACAGTGAGACTAAAAGAACATAAAAACCACATAAGTAAAGCCCAAACCATGATATTTTGGAGTCGCAAACTACGCTTACATAATAAAGGAGACAAAAAAATTAAGAAAAACGATTGAACTAAAAATTACAGGCAGTTGCCTAGATGAAAGCCAACCCACATGTATTTAAAAGATCCATCCATCCAGTTTATTTTAAGGATTATTCTGTATGTCCTTTCAACACTTTTCCAGTGACACATTTATTTATAGCCCACCATTCATTTCCACTTATCCAAACTGAAACAATCAAATTTTCAGCTTAGGTTTTTCCTGCAAAATAGTTTCTTAATCTTGTTAAATATTCTTCGTGCATGTCTTATCATTGATCTAATTTCTTCCGTGTAACCGTTATCATATTTTTTTATTTCTTCCAATTTATCATTGATTTTTAAGTATCTTTTGTAATCGCCTTAATTTGTTTTCTTAACTTTTAGTGTCAATATTCTTTTTAATGACTTACTAATTCTAAAAACGTCTGGTGATAGGTATGAATGATAGTATTAAGAAATGGAAAATCGCAACAAACATCTGAGAGTATTCTAAAGTAAGTTTTTTATTTATTGTTTTACATTGACATAGTATATTAGCCCAAGCTGAAGCTACCCAAAATTTTGCTAAAGCAGGATCACCTACTGGTAGTGCGGGAAGTTTTCAAGAAGGATATGGTGGAGGATACTCTGGAGGTCAATCTTTTGGAGGATCTTTTTCGGGTGGTTACCCTGGTGGAGCTGGATTTCAGTTTATTCCAGGAGTAGGAGCTAATTTTGGTTCTGGTGCAGATGGAGCATCCGCTTTCGGATCAATAGGCCCTGATGGAATTCAACAAAAAGCCTCAATTTTTCCAGAAAATCCAGTAAGTTATGATTGTATTTTTTTTTTAAATAAATTGCCAAGTGAAGGATTTATGATTATTACAATCTGATCAATTCTAACTTATCTCAGGTTGAAAAACTCTATTCTTGTATCAGTGATAACGTAATTAGTTAGTGTATGTATAAGTTATAATTATTATAAAAGTGTTTTATAATGAAACACAAAGTGTTATGTAAATAAGTAAATCCCTGTACACCTAAGGTTAAAAATAACTAAAGGGAAAAACAATTTCTTAACAATCATGGCTACCAAGGTTTAAATTTCATTGATATAAGAGTTTGTCTTGACATACCTCTCAAATTCTACTAGAGTATAAGTTGCACACGCTTCATTAGTCTAGTAGTGGATATCAATGCAGAACACTGGAGATGTGGTTTCAATCCCTACCCAATAAACATTTACGGTAACCCGAAATTTTATAATAGATATATAATAGTAACAAATTTATATAAGAAGGTTTCGGAGTTTTATAACCTGTACCTTTTGGTAACCAGGTTTTATAATGGTTTTATAACATTACTAGCAGTTATGGGTATATAAAAATGTAACAGAACTATTTCCATCACCATTTTATAAAACTTTAAGTAACGGTTACTAGTGGTTTTATAAAAAGGTGACATATGGGTTACCGTAACTCTATTTATATAACTAAAATACCTTAAGTTTTTTAATGGTGTCATAAATTACCTTTATTAAAACTGGCAGGAAGTAATGTTGACTATATTTGTTATAAAACTATTGGTTATTATATCGCCTCTTTTATAAAACTTTCAACCATCAGTAATACAAATTATCCTAATATAACTATTATGTAATGTATATAGAAAACTTTATTACCATGTTAAGTGATGTGCGTTAAGGTTACATTTTGCATTAAAGAAAAATCTGATGTGTCCAACACATGACTTTCCTATCTAGATATTATAGGCTTTTCCGGTTATTTTGTACAACCTATTGCAGCATCTCTATAAATGTTTAGAGGATAAACTAAATATATACATTGTCCACATACATCTACCTTGAAACATTTTTCTATAGATATTCATGGAAAACGAAAATACTGAAAAATTTAAATTTCCTACAATTTTTTCATTACGGTCCATTTTAGAAAAATCATGTATAAACAAAAATTGTAGAGATCGATATCGCAAACAACTTTTATTTCAAAAACTTTCATAAAAATCAGAATTTTGCACATTTTGTCAAATTTCTCGAATACGGACCATTTCAGGAAATTTTTACATAAAACAAAAATTATAGATAATAATATTAGAAGTAACTTTTATTTGAACAATTTTTTTCTCCAAACATTAATAACAGATATATTCCATAAAATATAAAAACGGCCTCCCATAAAGTACCCCCCCAGATGTTCCGACTTTGTCCAAAATCTAATCATTTTACGTCAGGCCGAAATAATCCTTAAGTTTAAAATTTAATGTTTTTTTCTTTATCCGTTTTTGAGTTTTCTTCAAAATTCGAAATTTACACATTTTCTCAAATATCTCGAATACGGTCCATTTTAGAGAAATTATGTATAGAATAAAAATTATAGAGAATTATATTACAAACAACTTTTATTTGAACAATTTTTATAAAAAATTATTTTTTTTACATTTTGTCAAATTTCTCGAATACGGACCATTTTAGGAAAATTTTGCATAAAACAAAAATTATAGATAATTATATTAGAAGTAACTTTTATTTGAAGAATTTTCTTCTCCAAACGTAAATAACAGATATATTCCATAAAATATAAAAATGACCACCTATAAAGTACCCCCCAGATGTTCCGACTCTGCCCAAAATCTAATCAGCTCATTAGACGTTGAAACAAAGCTTAAGTTTAAAATTTGGTGTTTTTCTATGTATCGGTTCATAAGTTATGCGTTATACAGACACACACACACACACACACACACACAGACACACACACACACACACACACACACACACACACACACACACACACACACACACACACACACACACAGACATCATCGCGAAAATAGTCAAAACGGATTCAGGGGACCTCAAAACGTAAAAATCCGTCGAAAACTCGAGGTCGAAAAAAATCATGATTCCTATACTTTCCTTATATCTGTATACAGATAGGAAAGTAAAAAGTATATTACATAACCCACGATGTAAAGAGTAATTACGCATTCGTAGAAATAAAAACTCCTTGGTAACTCTTATACTTATACTTCTAGGTAACATTTGAATAGAAACATATCTTTAAGTTAATATAAAATAAATTTGTTTTTTAGAATATCCCCAATGTAAATGTTCGTTTTGGTGCTGATGGGAACCCAAATGGATTTAAGAGTGTGTTTACATCGAGTTCAAGTATGACCACAAATGTTGATGGCAAACCTAAAACAGTTAAACAAGCTTCTACTACTGTCAATGATAATGGAAAAATCACCACATATACAGCTAAATATCCATGAAAATATATTTATAAGCCTTATTTTTAAATGTAAAATATTCTCAAATTTTATGCTAATGGCAAGTACTTAGTTACTTTATTTTTAATAAACGTTAGAATTCATGTTTTTTTATTTTGTTTTATTACTATAAATTAATGCAAACCAGCATGCTTATCATTTAATATAATTTTTTGAATCTGAACATATTAGGAACACTCCTTGGCATAAGAGAAGCGATGCGAGCCTTTGACAATACCTCAAGAATCAACCTGAAAAAAGGGAAATCTTTTGACAAACCCTGAAAAACACAATTCGTAACCTTGACAAACAAACAAAATTGTAATTTTTAACTTTTATTCTGGGAAAAGAGTTCTTAAATTTCCTAGCCTAAACTGACATTAAAACTGCCTAATTCTCGCACACGTGTAAGTTACAGATCAGTAAACTATAATTTTCCAAAGTTTCTGTATTAAGCCAGCGTGTCAAATCTTGTCAAATGCTTGGGCCATGTCAAGGCATATACATTTTGGGTCATATAGGTCTATATTTGGAGGTTTTCCTGGCTTAGGAATTAGGATAACTTTAACCATTTTACATGCATCTAATATTACGGTTGTGACTTAGTATACCCGGGGGCTACTTTTGAAAGGCATAAGATATAAAAAATTCAAAACTTACCAAAACTAATCAAAACTTACCAAAACACTTTAGGTGATCCGATCATAATCTGACGTTTAATATATTTTGGTAGTATTCCTCTAATTTAGCACATTTTATTTATCCTATTTGTGTTTTATCACTGTTTCGTTTAAAATAAAAGGCAACTTTATAAATTTGCTATACCTTACCCGACACCCTTAGATATAAGTAAAGTTTGAAATGTGTGCAGTATGGTTGAACTTGGAAAAATATTGGCTTTTAAATTTTTATATAAAAATATAAGTACCTAACTTTTCAATTTAAAAAAAATTATCAATGACGGCATATCTTGTAAGGAAGTAGTAGAAAATTAATTTAAAAAAAATTGAAAACCCACACTTTATGAATGCACTGTATAAATCTGCTTTTTGTTTTATTTAATTTCGTATTTTCCTAAACTTTTTTAATTTTTAAACTTATTGTAATTTTATTTTTTTTTAATCGACCTGTATAATTCCGCTATGCAACAAAATGATAATGTGTGACCATCTCGTTAGCAGTGAAACACCCTATATATATGTAATAATTAATAATTATTCTTTGTGTTGAAAAAAAATATTAAAAATTTTTAAGAACAATAAAAATGAATCACCAAATCAAAAATCAACTAAATTTAAATCAAAAGACTCACCAGTTGAAGTCGCTCATTCCTCCTAAAACAATATAAAAGAAAGTTTAATAAATATTTAAATTAATCATGAATTCGGAAAAGATCAAGGATTAAGCGAAAGAATATTTTTGTGTCTAGAACAAAATTTTCAAAATTTTTATATTTCGTTTCTAATTTTATTTATTTTAAATTATTAATAAATTATTTATAGAAAACATTACATTTAAATCAAAACACTCACCAATTGAAGCCACTTATTCCTCCTTCGCTCCCTGCCCTATTTGTTGTTCCAGTATTTCGCCATTATTTCCAGTAGATTTTCTCTTTTAAAACGCGTCCGGAAAAATCTTGTATTCCCGACAACATTAATGATCATTATATCATATTCAATTCTATATCAACCCTTTGACACGTCAGCTTTGTTCAAGTTTTATCAAAATATTTTGATGCTACCGAAACAAAACTTCTAAGAAACTTTTAAACCATTTTTTAAATTTATTAAAACATTTAATTTTCAAATTAGTTAACATGTTTAAAAATTCTTAGATGTATCTCCGGCCTGTATAGCTGCAGCCTTGTCCATTTGATCCAGGAACATACATCCCAAGACAGTACAATATAAATCAAAGTTCTACATTGACATCAAAGGACATACATTCTGAGATCAAACGTCTTTATTGTCAGAATGAAATGAACATGAACTCAAACCATTGACATTGTGCTACCGATTTACTCGAAAAATTTGCGGCGATTTAAAATTGTTTTTCGGAAATTCCCTGAAAAGAAAAGCAACAATTAGTAAAAGGAAATTTTGAAGGTATACAATACTTTTTGCAACCACTCTATTTAAGGATTTGCAAAAATATTCTACTCAGCTTGTTTACTATTATTCATAGGTGGGTCATTTTAATATTTCTCTATTCTTTTTTTATATCGAAATCTCGGAATCGAATTTTTGCAAAAATGCTAAAGTATCTAGTTAATATTTTTGCATTTTAATTCCTATCAACATTTTTAAATAACTTTGTTCTGTAGTTAAATTTAAATCACTATAACTCTTCAGTAAAAATCAATGTTTTATTTTTCCTGTATACTACTAAATATTTCACAAATTTGATTCTTGATTATTAGTTTCTATGTTATGCAGAAGTTTCCTGTGGTGGAATTGTTTAATTAATAATATTAATTGAAAAATATCACGGTCCTGGTGGGATTCAATTACTTTTTGAAATATCCTTGTCCGAAAATTATAAAAGCTGCTGCATTCACCTTAATATACCAACATACAGGTTGTTTCAAAATTCATGCGACAAAATTCAGGAGGTGATTGCTCGTATGAAATTAAGATGGGTCTTTCCTATAACAAAATTTCCTCAGCACACCCTTTTCCGAGATATCACCCTTAAGAGGTGGTGACTAAAATTGAGTTTTTATTTTTTTTTTTTATATTTCAGTAAAGCTAGAAACTTGAAATTCTGTAATTTTCGTGCACTCGAACACGGTTATTTTTTTAAAATTCCTGTTATATTATAGGGGGATGAAATTAGCAACCCTTACTTTATTTCATATCAAAACTTTTTTTCGAGATGAAATTTTTTGAAATAATTTTATAACTTGAAATCCTTGTTAAACTTCTTAATTTTTTTTTTATTTTTTCCCAAAACCAATAGCTTCATAGAAAAAAATATTGTTTTCCAATCAATTTATTAAAAAAATGATAAATTAGGGTTTTCATTTTTTTTCTCTGAAGCTATTGGTTTTGGGAAAAAAATTCAAGAATAAAAAAAAAATTTAAATAAAACAAGGATTTCAAGTTATAATTTTATTTCATAAAAGTTCATCTCGAAAAAAAGTTTTGATATGAAATAAAGTGTTGCTAATTTCACCCCCTATAATGTAACAGGAATTTTGAAAAAATACCCGTGGTTAGTCCTTTGCGAGTGCACGAAAATTACAGAATTTCAAGTTTCTAGCTTTATTGAAATTTTAGAAAAAAAATAAAAACTCAATTTTAGTCACCACCTTTTAAAGGTGATATCTCGAAAAGGGGTGAGCTGAAGAAATTTTGTTATAGGAAAGACCCACCTTAATTTCATACAAGCAATCACCCCCTGAATTTTGTCGCATGAATTTAGAAACACCCTGTATATTACACTTTTTTTTTAAGCGGGCAAAATTCTTGACAATCTCTTTTTCCTAATTGGCACGTGTCTTCCAGAATTTTTCATTTCATAAATTAACTAAAAACTAAATTAAACAAAAATCTAACAACGCCTCAACAACAAACTAAGACGATCATAATAATTTCGCACCTCTTCAAAAACAACTATTTTTCGACACAGGAATTAACAAATTTAAGTAAACAGCAGCTACCCTTTTAACCACGGGCTTCATAGACTAGCAGCGTTGCCATATTCATTGTATCATTGTTCTAATAGAATTAGTATCGGAATGAAAATTATGTTAATCTTTCGTCCTGTTTAAAATTGGTAATCTTTTTAAAAAAAAGTTATTTAGAAAATAGTTAAGATATTTGTTATAGAATGACGCTAAAGAGCCAAAAAATTAAATTTGTTAAAAAGTTTAAATTTTTAGAACGATTGGCCTAAACCATTTTTTTTAACTGCCTCAAACATAAAATTGATTTTTGGCGGAGGAGCGCCCGTCATGTTTGCTCTTAAACTAAATAGGACTTAGGATATTATGTCAATAACTAATTTAAAAAAAAAATGGACACAGGACAGTTTTCTTCCCAACCGACGATATTTTGCTTTATAATGAAATTTAGGTATTTTACTCTCCATTATAAATCATTATTTTTTAATTTTCCCTGTATATCATCTATATCTTACAAAATTTGATACTTCATTATGAATTTTCAAGTCATGCAGAACCTATTATTAAGAATTTTTTTTTTCGAAATGTAAGATAAACTTTTATTCGCTTGCATACAAATGTTTGGGATACCCTGTAGATTATGTTATTTTTAACTAGTCAAAATAGGATATTTTTTAATTATTCCTATCAACACTAATATTTTGCTCTATTCACAAAGTTAAAAGTATTATACTCTTTATTATAAATCATAATATTTTATTTTCCCTGTATATCTCCTATATTTTACAAAATGAAATGCTTGATTATGGATTTTGAAGTGATACAGTACTTTTTATCAAGATTTTTTTTTGTGAAATGCAAGATAAACTTTTTTTGTGTATAAAACTTTTTTTTTTTTCACTATGAATTTAAAAATTATGTATATCTTCATATATATCAAAACGTTTGGCAACCCTGTACAGCTATGTCTAAATATTTGCTCAAAATGGGAAATATTTGAGATTTTATCATTAAATTTCCACTTTAATGTCGATAATCCGCAATTTTATATTCATTTTCATAATATTTAACTAGGTAATAACGCAAAAAATATTTTGAAATTCGTGTCTATAAAGTCTCCAACAAGAACAAGGCAAATCTTACATTATTCGGTAGTTCAGTAAATTTTAAGTGATTTTAATTTATTTTAAATAAAAAAATCTCACCTTATGTATCAAATTATTGTAGTAACAACACTGATTTTTAATTTTTCTAACACAAAATAATAATTATAAAAAATGTTCTCAACTAGCTGTCACAATTAGAAGCCATCTTTTAATAAATAAATCTCTACATAGGCAACTTGATAAAAAACTCTTAAAAAATAGTTTTTTCTTACAGGCCTTTTCATCACATTTTTTGCGCATGCGTCAGTATCTGTCATCTTTTTCGTACTATTTTTTGTAAACAAGCATATTAAAAAGCCCACGTAAAAAACTTATTATCGATAAATACTAATTTAAGTAGGTATATTCATTCAAAAAAAAAAAAGGAAGAAAATACCTATAAAGTAATAATAAGTTTTTACTGTCAATTTTAATTATGTTATCTGTACGGAAAAAAAAACGAAAAGTGACACATGGCAATCAAAGGAATACCAAAGCTTTGGCTAAAAATATCGGAAAAAAATTATCACATTCAGTCAAAATACACATTAAAACAAGTTCAAAATGCGCTGGTATTACACAATAGCTTTTTAATATTAAATACGACTTTGGTATACACAGTAATATGACTGAAAATGTCATGTTGATCCTCAAACTAAAAATATAATTTATTTTAAAATTATACTCATGAAAAACTTTCATGTTGATTAAAGTGTTTTTGCAAGTACTAATATTGGTTGGCATAATTAATTAGAATAGAGTTACGATTATTATTTGTTTTCATTCATTTTTTACACAGTAAACAAATATTAATACACCTCACCTAACCTCTCGATCAGAAGACTTTTTTGCCTTGTTGAAACTGTCCAAGACACTAACCATTTTCTCAATTGCTCACAACTATGTGCTTCCACAGAGTTATAAAAAAGTAAATCACTATCAACGATTTTTACTAATGATTGATTTGTCGATCAAAACATTACGAAACTTTTGAATTACCGGTATTTCAACATGGCTGCTGCGCTTGCGCTCTTCTCATGAAAAGGCCTATTTACGCATGTACAAGAAGACAACGTTTATACAGGATGTCCAATTTATATTTAAGAATTTAAAAATATATTTTTAATTTAAATGTGAATACAAATTACACTTTATTGATTTAATGTTATTTTTCATAGGTGGTAATTTATGTTTTATTATCGATCTTGCCGTTTGTAGTTGTAACTAAAACTAGATAATGGTACCTTCTGAACATTATGTTTATTTAATTTGCTAATTTAATGTACAAGGTGAAACATAATTGTCGAGCAATAGTTCTTAGATACCTAATGGAAATTATGTTTCTTTCATTTGCTAATTTATTATACAAGGTAAAACAAAATTATAGAGCAATAGTTAGGGGTGATGAATATGAAACACTTAAAAATGAGGAGAATTTGTCTCATCAACAATAAGCCCTAGAAATGTATTAATGATAGTTTAAACGTTGTAGGAAGATATTATAGTAGGATAATATCATGGACACTTGGTCTGATTGCGATGGAGATCATATTAGATGACACTATACTTCCCTAATCCCTGGTCTCCAAGTCAGGTATTGATGTTAATTATACTTTAAAAACTTTTTTATTTCTACTTGCCTTTTGTAATATGTTTTTTAGTTACAATTAGTTGCAAAGTTAAAGGATATTTGAAGGTTACTTGAAATTGTAAATGCCTAAATAATCAATAAACCAGTTTTTGTTTTGGGAAAGATTGAATCAGATGAAGTCGAGGAGAAATTTCTCTATATTGTGGATTGTGGTTAGATATGTTGGACGCACAGAACATTGGACGGTTGATTAATTATCTATTTCAATTTTGGAGTAATTTTTACTGTATACAAGTCACTAATAATTATATTTTCTTTCAAAATACAGATGTGATAAATAATTTCGGCTCTAGTCCATCGATAAATTCATTATCAATTAGTTGTACCCGCCTGGTTTTCGAAATTAATCCATGATGAAGTTAACAACGCAGCACCAAATCATTGCAATACTAATATTAGGAAATAGAAAATTTACAATTTTACAAATAAGTAACAATAAAAACAAGATATACCATGACCAAAAATCTTTTGGCGTACAGATCTTACTTGTTCAGTATTCGTAGCAGTTTATTTGTCACTAGGTTAGTCATTAACAAATTTTGGAAAAATACAGCAAATGTTGAAAATATAGAAATCAAACTCAGATCATATAAAATACATTTAATTAATTTAAAGGCGCTAGTTTGTCATTTATTTGAGCTCCAGGGTCGTTCACAGAATCTACGCGACTTGGAGAATAAACGCTGCTTCTTCCGGTTTCGCTGCGATACCCATGAAAATCAGTTCTGCCATCATTTTCGCAAAAGCATTTCACCGTACCTGTGGGCAAAACACCATGTCTATCTTGGTTGAATTGATTTTGCCATTGAGATGGTCTCCAGTTGGGTCTCATAACTTTAAACTCTACAGGATTCATAACTCCTACATGTTTTGGATATAATACGTATTGCGGTGGTGGAGTTTCGCTATAATGATGCCTATGTAATGATGAATCAAAATATGGTACTGACATTTCAATGCCACTTGTCTTAAAATTGGTGGTTAACAAGTCACTAGTAATGTCCATTGCTATTGGTGGTGAAGATCTGAAATTAATATTCACTTCTGGATTTGGATTTAGCATATTTTGATAGAATGTTGCAGGATCTAATTTCCTGTTCGACTGGTATGGGTAAAAAGACATACTAGAGCCATACTGTGATCCAGGTGAATAAAAGTTAGATCCCTGAGTACGAGATCTAGTATTTTGATAGATAGATGGTCGATCGTCGGGTATAAAAATGGTTTTAGGTTTAGTTCTAACACCATCGTAGTTGTTAAAATTGGAATTATCTGTGCCAGATGAATAAAAGTTAGATCCCTGAGTACGATGTCTAGTATTTTGATAGATAGATGGTCCATCGTCAGGTATAAAAATGCTTTTCGGTTCAGTTCTAACACCATCATAGTTATTAAAATTGGAATTATCTGTGCCTACTACTACAGGTATATCTGGTGTATCTTCTATTGATTTCGTTTTATTTTGGTTTAAGTTAACTTTTGTTTTTATATGAACAACCACGTCTGTATTAATTGTATCTCCTGATTCATCAGTTGATTTGGTGGTGTTACATCCTTCGCTAACACAGACAACTCCTACTGAATCAAAATTATCTACATTTACACTACTGGAAGGATTATTTACTGAACTAAATAACTTTTTATGGATACCGTCATTTATAAATGAACTATGTGATCTCCTGTCTCCAAAGTCTAACTTGTCATCTATGCCAACAGCGTTTGCTGAAACAAAAAATTTGTAAGAGGAATTTATTTATTATATTTGAAAAGGAGTAGTAATAGTTATACAAAATATGTTTACTTATATTTTGAAATAAATCAGAGCAGTTGCTGACAAGCTTTGTTCGCGATAAGAATCCTGAACCGAATTATTACTAACAGTAACAATTTCGCAGGCGCAGTAGTTAAAAAGCGTTCGCGGAACAAAAAGAACTCAACTATTGGTTCTATCGCGGTAAAATTATTATTGGTTTTGAATCGCTTGAAACACCGAGATATAATAGGGAATGCGCGCGCAGTAAAATTCAGAATTGATAATGAATCAGGATTGTTACCGCGAACGAAGCTATAATCCATAAAACATTCATTGGGGTGTTTATTATACTCTTCACAGACTACTGTTACACAATTGGACGGTACTATGCAGAAAGCTACCAACCCTCAATAGTGACAAACTGAGATAATCAGCTCTAAAGTTTTTGTTCGTTTAAAAAAGATGTAGGCTGTGGGTTAGCATTTTATAGTTTTATAGGTTATATCATTAACTTAGGCTTGATAGGTTCTTATAGAATCCAGAACGCGCATTTTATTATCCAATTCCGCACCCAACCCAATGTCAAAAACGAAAAGTGATGTCAACTTGAAAACTTCAGGAAAATCAAGCTCTATAATGGGTTAAGCCTATTGATTTTGAAAAAAAAACTAAAAATGGGGCATTAAGGGGGTTGAAATAAAAAAAAAAGAAAAACGAAAAGCGATATCCACATGAAATGGTTAGTAAAAATTAAGCTCTATAAGAAGATGAAACCTATTGATACTGAAAAAAATCTGTTTGAAAATAGGATTAATTGGGGTTGAAATTAAAAAAATCATAAATCAAAAACAAGAAGCGATATCAACATGAAATTTTTTAGTAAAAATCAAGCAAGAGGTGATTCCTTCTGAAAAAAATTTAAATAAAAATGTGGGGTTAATAGGGGTTGAAATATTTAAAAAATCCTAACTCAAAAACGAACAATAATATCAACTTGATATTTTTGGCAAAAATCAAGCTCTATAAGGGGACAAAGCCTATTGATTTAAAATAAATCTGAATAAAATGGGAGTCAAGTGTCAAATAAAAAATTAGAAATCAAAAACCAAAGGCAATATCAACATGAAATATTTAGTAAAAATTAAACTCTATAAGAAAAATTAATAAATTAATAAAAATGGGAAGATGAAGGGAGTTGAAATATTGAAAAAAATCATAACTTAAATTAAAAGCTTCAGAAAAATCAAGCTCTATAATGGAATGAATAAATAAATAAAAATGGGGAGATAAGGGAGGTTGTAATATTGAAAAAAAAATCCTAATTCAGAAACAAAAACGATGTGAAATTAAATTCTTCAGGAAAAATCAAGCCTATTGAGTTTGAAATAAAATCTGATTGGAAATAGGGGTTTAACAAACCCCCGTTAAACTGTGAAGAGTATAATATAGAATGACAAGCATTATATATCTTCATTCTAGTATTTTAAATGTTCTTTACTATATTACATTAAAAAGTTAGCTTTTTCTAAGTTTTATTTTTTAATTATCATAATTTAAACATTTTATCTTTAAAATTTTGAAAGAACTTTAATTATATTTATATATATATATATATATATATATATATATATATATATATATATATATATATATATATATATATATATATATTATATATGTATATTATAGTACAAAGGTGGATCCGAGGGAGAGGGCATAGGGGGCCGTGGCGCCTCCCGAGATTAATTCATGAGCCTTTTATTAAAAAACAATATTCCAAAAAGGGAATTGTTATTAAGAAATGCCCCCTCCCCACGAAAATTCGGCCTGAAGCCGCTATTGGTTAATATATTTAAAATATTTGTATTTCATTAAAAATTGGAATATCTTGCATTTTAGTTTTCGGAAAAATGTAATTTTGAAAAAAAAAAGTGTTAGATCATGATACTGTCGAACCTATAAATCACTTTTTCTTGATTTACTATTTATAAATTATTATTAATGGATATAATAGGTAGGAAAAACGAGTATAGAGAATTATATTTGAAAAATAAGGTATCTACATTACATATGGTTAAAATACTGAACCATACTACTAATAACAAATTAATTCAATAATTGTTTACTGAAAACTACCTACGACGACTTCAATTTGTTTTTTTTTTTTTTTTCGTAAATTTAGATGGTTCTATTTGTATTATTTTAAAATCATTATAGTTATTTAATTTAATAATTTACTTACTATAATAAATATGAGCAAAAATCATGAGTGATGTAAAGGCATTAATTCCACCAAAGTTCATGGCTGGCACTATTTTTCAAAACTATGGCGACATTCGCGTGAAGCACACCTATCTGTGGCGTAATAAATCCTGGTTCGAGAATTAAATTTTAAACGGATTAGTTTATAATAAAGATGCTGTTGTTGGTTTCCTTCATATTATTGTCAAGGTTATAAATAAAATATTCTTTGATGGCCGTAATTGCTGTCATTATAAAAATATCAATTTTACCTGTAGTAGCATAGGTGTGTAAAAAAACTTGTCGATCTAATTCAAACACGATAATCCAATGAGTCAAGCTAATGATAGAAGGCTACATCAACAAAGTTATTTTTTTCTAAGAAGTGCTCATTTTTTTTATTTGTACAAATACGAAAATAATTTATTTCAAATTTAAATGAAAATAAATAATATAACTAGAATCCTGACGAGACATTGTTGAAATAAAATGTATTGGCTGATCATAAATGCATTATTACCTGATAAATTACAATAAGTTACTCATATACAGTATTTAAAAATATTGTTTTCTAATTTTGACATGTAAAGTAACATTTTTTGTAATTGCAGCAAGTGACAAAATGATTACTTTACGTAACCAGTTGCATAATGTTGAATATTATGAAACTGGTTACGAAAAAATCATTATGTCACCCTAAAACTAAAGGTTTTTTGGTTTTAAAATCAATAATATACATTATATTATGACTTGGGAAAATACCCAAACATCTTCCAGGCGGAAATTCACGCCATCGAGAAGTGTATCCAGTTCAACACCGAGAGAAACTATCATATACAAGAGATTATCATCATGTCCGATAGTCAAGCAGCCATCAAAGCGCTGAGCTCTTATGTAATTAGCTCAAAAATAGTCTGGAGATGCCTAGAACAATTGAATGACCTAGGCGAGAAAAATAGAGTTACTCCGAGTCATAACGGGGTGTAGGGTAACCAGATTGCAGATAGTCTTGCAAGAAAAGGGGCTCAAACACCCTTTGTAGGACCTGAGCCGTTCTGCGGTATCAGCAGTAACATAATATTAGGAAAGATTAAAAAAAGAATTGGGCAGTAGAAGAACCGATAATTGGAACAATCTCTTGGGGCTAAGACAGGCCAAGATACTTCTGGGTGCATATAAGCAGAAAAGATCGGAAGCCTGCATCTGCCTGAGCAAGAACAGGCTACTTATTGTAACAGGGATCCTTACCGGGCATTGTCGACTAAAAGGGCACCTAAGTGAACTGAGAGTAGTAGAGGATAGTGAGTGCAGATTCTGTGAGGAGGAGGACGAAACCTCCATTCACATCCTAACTGAATGTGTAGCTCTTCAGAATCCAAGGGCACTATATCTAGGAGGATATCAAATAGAAGAGTGAGATTTACCTAACTTGAAGCCATTTCAAATCCTACACTTCCTTGAAAAAATAGGCATTGAGACATTTCCTTGGCGACAGAAGGGGACACAATAGATCTTTTAGGTCGCAATGTATTGACACCCTATTCCCAACATAACATAAAGGGTGACATATGTGTGACGTTCTAAGGTATAGTATTTTTAATACAAATCCCGATGCACGTCAGCAATGACGTCGGTCATTCGTCATAGTACTACCAACTAATTAAAATGTCCCTAACTAAGCTAATAATCCGAAAAAGTCACGTATAGTCACGAGCATTCATGAACGTAGTCATATTACTAAAAAGTCGAAAACTGTTATGGTGATTATTTTGATAATTTTAAGAATTATTTAAATTATTTATAAGAAGGTATGTAGTATGTCAGAATCATTATAGAGGAGACATGTCCATGACAGATGAGCAAATAAAAGATTACTGTAAAAAAGCTGTATTGATTAATCAATAAAGGATCGTTTACGTATTGAAGTATTTTTTCAGATTGTAATTTACTAAAATTTATCTCGGAAGGGCATCATTCTATGATCAAAAAAATTAAAACTCAAATACATATGAGAAAAAATTTGCATAACTATGATTAATACATGAAATAATAGTATTTACTGTCACTCTAGTATGCCAAAACACAGTATTTGTAGTCCAAACTATAATGAGCTGGATCTTTTTTTATATCAACTATTTATTAAAAAATCAAAATCCCAGAGGGACCTTACCTTTTTACTTGGGATCCGAGACCATGAACTGAGCTACCAACCAATGAAAAATACCTAAAAAAGAAGTGGAGATTGGAAATAAAAAATTGCTACTAGTTTTAAATAACTATATTTTCACAATATATATATATTACGTATTTATAACAATACTAGAGAATTACCGTACAATAAAGTATAAATGACTATTTATAATAAATTGAAAATTAAGTGAAATACTCTAGTTCTAATAATTAGCAACTTAAAAACAAAATAATTATCACATTAATATACCACTAACTTGGAAAAAGTACCATTAGGCAAAAATACAATTTGCTGAAACAAAAGTGAACCACTATATTTCTCCCTTTTTTAAAGGCGATTTTTTTTAATTTTAAATATCAATCTTTGCAATAAGAAAAAAAATATATCTCATAAAACTATATTTTCTCGAACTAATTGTGATTTATTTTTATAATTATGCCAATTTTTTATATAAATATTTTTAAGGGAAGAAAATGGCAAGAAATCTGTAGATTAGTGCACAAAAAAAAAAATGCTGTCAGTGTAACGTCTGTGTTTTTTATTAAACAGACCTAAAATATGTAAAAATAAAAGATAAATTAGTTGCGTTTTGATTACACAAAATTAAAATTTTCAATTAAATAAAAATATATTGAATAAAAATTAATTATAAAAAAAACAGTTGTCAATACTATTATTGCTTGTATTCGCAACTACTCAATACTTTTACCAAATAGATTAAATATAAATTTACATATACAGGATGTTATAAAAACGAAACCCCAATTAAAAGGATTCCACGAATGGCTTTGTAAAACAAATCAATATACTTTTACCACTAAAAGCAACAAATAAAAACAGAATTCTTGAAAAAGAGAACAAACCTGTATAGCTGTGGGCAAACTTAACTAAGCATTGTGATTACAATGACAATCAAACCCCATTTTTTTATAATGTTAAATGACTGCCATGTAATATATAGGACATGAATTTTTTATACATTTAATTTATGAAAATATGCGTTATATGACTCGTCTTTATAGAATTTACTGCTTTTTAATTCATGATAGGATAGCTGGAACATATTTTTATAAAATTTAGAAGTACATTCAGGAAATCCACAAAATTCCACGAAACCGTATTGATATTAACGATAGTATACAGAGTCCCTACTATTTCATAAACAGTAACAGATAGGCAAAAGTTGCGCAGTTTTGTGCTCATTAAAACGGTGCCAAGAAACCTTTGATATCTACAGGAAGATTCAAAATATCGGACAAAAAAAGAAAATTGTCATTTCTTTAAATCCAATCATTTTGAATCTGCCTGTAAATAACAAAGGTTCTTGGTATCATTTTAATGAGCACAAAACTGCGCAACTTTTGTCTAAAATTTAAGCAACTTTCTATCTGTTACCATTTAAGAAATAGCAATACTGTCGCTATGAAATATTAGGGACATTAAACATAAAATGGTACTATGCAAAAAATTAACACAATAGAACAAAAGTTTGGGACACCCTATATATAAAAAAATAGTTTTGAAAACTGCTTTGAAAAAAAAATCCCTACAAATTGAGTATTTACAAAAATAATTACTAACTATACCAAAATTTACATATTGTATATAGACGTCTAAAAATAAGTGTTCTTAATGATGGAGCGCATTAACCAATCGCTCTCCCGTCGCATCGTGGACTTTGCTAGTCTCGAGGGCGCACAGTGAAGTTTTTCCCACATTTTATAACGCATGAATTTCCACTTGGTGTCCTTAAGCTGTGCTCGCTCGCATAGCGTTCTCGTCGCATCTTTTCCAAAGAATCTCGGGAGACCGCGATGCGATTGCCTAATTCTTTCCCGTCTTTACGGATCATTTATTGCATGTGGTTATAGCAGACCAGCTATCCATTAATGACAAAAATATTTTTTTCCAAAAAAACGAGTGATCCATCTAACAAAATACAATTTTGATAAATGAGCCCCATTTGAGGGCGTTTAGCATGCATAGAGAAACATTACAAACATATAAAAAAGTATGGATTGAAAATAAATAACTGAGCTAAGGTTAATAATCTGAGACCTACTTACAAGTACTGCAAAATAGTTTGAATGGGGGAGAATGTTTTCTGGAAGAATGCTTAGTAAGTAATGTTGATTCTAAGGGTAAACCCAAGTATTAACAGAAACGTTAACAATTTAGTTATCGAGTAGTCGCCATCTTTGATAACCAGGTCACGGATGGTTACCCAAATCGAAATTGCTTACTAAGCATTTTTGAAAAAAAATCTGCTCAAACTTTCCTACAGAACCACGACCCAGACATAACTATTTTTTATAAAGCCAAATGTCACTGGAATAGCGACTATGAAGAAGTCGACGGTCCAGGAGATCCATGTCTCTTCTTTGATTTTTTATGCTTTAATTCATCTAGATAAGACTGTTGGGATTCGGCTAAAACCTGAGCCATAATCTCCTGGTCAAAATCATCAAAACCTGTAAATATAATTATTTTTTCAGTTAATTAATTGATTAATGTACGATTTGTAATTTTTATACAAAATGTCCCTGAAAAAATACATTTCTTGAAGGGGTAAATATAGTTTGTGCAGTCTGCAATTTTTTTAGTTAAAATAATACCTGTATGTAAAAGGAATGCATTATTTTCGGGTAGTTATAATCTAAAATTCAAATTTTTTTGTGCTTACCCAAATTATTGTCCATGGTAGATGGTCCTGCTTGATCTCTGAAGTCTGGAGCAAAAGTTTCACTGGTAAAGCCACTTTCGGTCTGTTCAATTCTCCTAGGCGAGTTATATAATCTTTGAGCCAAAGCCTCTTCCTCTTTCGTAGGAATGTACGGGGGAGGTACATTTTCAATATTCAGTTCAGGAATGACTGGCATGCTGCCACAATTAGATCTTGGACTTGCTGCAAATAAAATGTATGTTTTATATCTTTAAAAGTCCACGTTTTAAAGCCTCTACTCATTCATAATAATGAATACATGGAATGATAAATGACAGTTTGGATTTAATCCAAAGACGTTCATAGTTATTAAAGACATGACTGGTATTTCTATCTTTGTCAATCTACCTTAGAAACGTTTTTTTCTGTTTTTGAACAGGTGACGTCATTTAAATATTTAGAAGTTATATTAACAGAAATGGCTAGAAAGAGAAGGAAGTTCAGAATAGTGTTCAAAGGAAGTAAGAGTGCTGGGAACATTGTAGACAGAAATTAAATTAGACAGTAAACGAGACATGTTGAGTTTTTATTTAAATTGAGCTTAGCCATGCATTCCTTTGACATATTTCAAGGGGCTAAATCACCATTTTTATTAAGTTGTTTAAACTTTTTTGTTAATTTGTTTAAAATTTAAAGTGTCCAACATTTCATTATTGGACAAACAATGACAACCTATACTAATAGATGTTTTTGCTTGACAATAGACAATAAACATTGAAGATGGGCCTTTTGTTCCATTCAAATCCAAGCAATATAGGCTTAGGTCCATTTAGCATACGTTTTTTTTATTTACTGACATTTTACAGTCAATGTCGTTTGTTTCATTCAAATCGGTCCATTATTAATAAAGATATAGGCTGAGCTCCTTTTGACATTAATACTATGTATATGGGAACACAATAGATCCAAGAAGCAACAGTGTTCTGAGCTAAATCTACCCTACCTGCTCATAACCGATATAGAAGTTATGTGCTACAAATAATGAGACATTAAATGGCATGATAGGTATCAGATATTTATTACACCACTTGCTTTTTTTGTGGTCGTGTTAAAATTGAACTAACCAACATATTCGCTTAAAAAAAATAATTACAATATTTAAAATGAATAGAAGGTATAATAATACTTACCTAATGGAGAAAAATTCTTAGCAGAAGACGACGCTTTAGGCGACTGCCCACCTTTAGGGGAAACGGAGCCACGGCGTGAGGTTCTAGGACTGGATACCATGGATGAAGTGATAGTGGAGCTGCTAGCGCTGCCGTGAGCATGACCTTCGGCCTTTAGGCGTTTTTCAGTATCTCGAAAATATTGTATATAAGATTCCCTAGCCACTTGCTCTTCTATAGCTTCGTTGGTGGCTTCCCAATCAGTTGCTTTTATCTTATCTTCCAACATGGTCTGTAAATAACATTTTAATATAAATTTCCAAAAATTATTATGTTCATAAAATAACAATTTTTTGTGGTGCACATTTTTTTATACACGTGTTTCAGTTTTATTGCGATTTAAAAATAATTCGTTACTATGAAACCATTGTTTAGCTTCAGATATAATCTTAAGAGTTTTAAATAACCATGTCAAATGTGTTATTCGAGTGATAGAAGAAATTGATTATCATCTGAATACATGCTATTATTTGAATTCATATAAGAGGAAAGATCCTTGGTGTATATTAAAAGTATTAGGGGTCCTAGTACAGATCCTTGTGGCACACCTATTTTCATTATTATAGATTTACTAACTTTGTTGTTTTTTAAATAAGAAGCAATGCAATCCACTTATAATGCCATATTTATCTAGTTTGTTGATTAACAATATGTGGCTTACACAGTCAAATGCTTTAGACAGATAAGTGAATAATAGCAACGCACTGTGATTTATTTTCCAAAGATTCCTGAATGTTATTAATTAAAGCTAGCATTACATTTGTATGTCTAAAACGATATTTCCTGGAGTCAGCCTCAAAACTCATTGGTACTTTTTACACAATATATATATTTTTTTGTTTATTTTCTTTCTATATACTTTAATTTATTTAGGTACACTTACTTGCTCGATGAGAAGCTCTTCACTGGCCCTAACAGCATCATGTAATCTTCTTCTGTCAATATCTGTGGGTTTATAATTAGGTAGACCCAATCCAACACCCACAGAAGGACGATTCGGGTTGCTTATGGAATTATAGTGGCACATTCTATGGTAAGATAGTCTAATGGGCTCATAAGAAGTTATTCTTGAACCGTTGAAGATGTTTATTGGTTCTGAAAAGTATATAACATAATGTTTTGTGTATAAACGTACTTTGTTAAATAAATAGCTTAAAAAAATAAACGATTTGTAATTTCTTACCAATTTGATAACAGTACACCTCAATAGCTCTGTTATACAGCTCGCTCATGGCTTGAATTTCCAAATGATTACCATGAACGTGCCATGTACGCTTTCTAGCAACATATTTTTCGAAATCCTCAGTAACATAGGGCTCAAAGTAATCACGATTTTGTACCTAAAAAAGTGTATTTAATTTAAGAGCACAAAACATGTGAAATCAACACTGGAGTAATATATCTAGACTGATGTTTAGCTTGTACTTGTGACATGAAAATATACAAGGAATTAACATAAAATTTGAATACTTACGATATAATTCATACAATCCTGTCTTACTTGAAAATGGAACTCCTGATCACCATATACCTGATCAGCAATGGATCTAAATAGACATGCCCCATCTTCATTCATGTTCTTAATCTCAAAACCCAAATTGGACATATAACGGGCAAATAGTGCATCTCTCTAAATAACAAATTAATGAAAAACATTCTCAATTTATTTGTCTCATAAAGAAACTTAAATTAGAATGAAACTTCTTTTATTCAACATCCAATGTATTACAAAGCAGGATAGATTAGTAAAAACTGGTAAAGCTGATAAGAACTTTGTACTTTATAAAAAGTGTATGTTTAAAAGTTCCAGTTAAACATATAATAAATATAAATATTTCAGTGGAGTGTTGTTAGAACAGGATTATAAATATTTTTGTACAAATTTTTAAGCAATCAAATTCAACAGCCAACAAAAGAAAATAAAAATGCTTGTTTTTTTCAAATTTTGAACTCTTAGAAATCTCGATAAATACCATAAGTGATAAGGAAAAGATCATTTATGATCAAGAACTAATAATCCAGTTACTTCAACAAAAAATAAATATCTTGACAAAATCAATATTCCTTCATTTGTAGATGTTAATTAAGAATAAGGGAACATTATTATTAAACCTAATAAAAGTCAAAATCAACAAAAAAGAAGATGATATTGAAAACAAATATATCAAATGGATGAACTGAAGGTAAGAATGCACAGTATGAAAATTTTGAGTTCATGTTCATTAATGATAAGTGTCAGAACAAGTAAGATATAGAAATACTAAATGAAGATATAGGTTCAAAGATGATAAAAAAAACTACACCACAGAATTAAGGTTGTATTTATTAAAAATTCGATTTTTGGTGCCAAAACTATAATTTTTGAATGTGATCTAGCATCTTTTAATAAAATAATGTGTACAATGATCTATATACCTAGATGCTACAAATGTCAGGGTTATTATCACTCACAACAAAATTTCCATTTTTTGCTTGCCTTCTTTGTAGAGAAGTCCATTAAAGGGATTAATGTGATAAGACAAAATTAATTGTATACATTGATGATTCTAACTTGGATACAATTTTATAGAGTATGTTGTATCCTACAATTACACCAAAAGAACGGTATAGAATAAGCAATGGTATTGATTAGACAGAGATAGAACAGCACGTGTCAGCCCACTAGTGGTAGAAGTGTATGTATCTATCTATCCAATCACAGCAGACAGTGACCAGATTCACAAGTCTCTCTTTATTTGACACAAATGCAAATATAATTAGGCTTCTAATCTTTATTTCGAAGGATCCATGAGTTAACAAATTGTAGAAAAGATAGGCCAAACAGAATATGTGGTAGTGTAGGGTGCTATGTAATATCACATATCAATTGAAAAGTTATTGATCTTAACTTAAATAATATCAATTGAAGGGGTAAATGGCAAAAGGGGTTATCTAAAAAATGGACTTTTATATCTAAATGAAGGTGTAATGGAAACTATTTACTAAAATATTTGAATATTTCTGAATAATTAGTTTACAGAAAAATGTGTTATCTGCTTTTTAATGTTGACAAATACAGGATTTTTAAACCTACACAAATACAACCTACAAATCCTAATAGAAGATAAAAACTACAATTATGTATTTAAATATTTAATAATAAAATAGTAATTTCAGATGCAAAATTTTCTCATAATAATAATAATAATTTTATTAGATAACACCTTCTGCCATTCACCCCTTCCATTATAAATAAATTTCACCATTATTTCTGAAACTCAAAAATAAGTGAGCATGTGTTGATAAAATAAAATTTACTCTTGTTAATATTTCTGGAAAAATTACAACACCCAGTTACCAGGAATTAATATATAATGACTAGTCCATTGAACTGATAATTTTATATTAAATTTAAACTATTACTAACCTTTGTCCATTCCTCATCAGTGAGATTACGGCCTTTGAAGAAACTTTCATCATACTCATCTTCACTGTTAAACCCAGTACAATCTTCTTTGATAACAATTTCATTGTTTTTGCAAGGGGTTTCTGTAGGGGAGCTGTCTACTGGGGATGCAATGTTGTTCGTTTCATTTAGGGTTTCAGAGATAATGTCACGCTTATTTAAAACAATTCTTTCTCTTTTTTGTTCCCTTCTTACTTCTCTTTTTTTCTCTCTTACACTTTCAAGGTCTCTGGGCCTTTCTGATTCTTTATACCTCTTGTGGAATCGTTCCTTTCGGTCATTTTTACTGTGAAAGAAATATAATTCCACTATTTAACTGATAAAGTGTAACAAAAATACTTAAGATGGTTTGCTAGATATCATGGAAACCAATAAAAAGTAAAATGTAAGTGAAATTTCATCTTACAATCTTGTTACATCCAAAACTTTGAATTGTTTATTTTATTATATAATTATAGCAGTAAAATTCAATTTCAATTAATCAAAAATATATCTTAACTTGCTAGTCAAAATACACTATTAAGTGACCTATTGAAAAGTGTCTGTCTCAGCTCCATGAAATTTTTTTTACCATTGCAATTTCCTAGATTTCGATTCAATTGTGACAACACTGAAGCCCTAAAGTTATGTTGTGCATGCAGTCTAAAATTTAATTTTTTCAAATCTGTCCATTTCATTTTCTTAAAATAGGAATTTTAATTGAAAGTAATTTTTTCAAGCAATTTAAATAGCACCAATTGATTAAATTAATTTTTATGAATTTATATTTGTAAAGGTAAAAAATAAGACCTACTGGTTCAGCATGAAAACTGTTTCAAAGGAGGGCAATACTGTGACAAAGCTGAGCCTTACTACCCATCAACCCATTTTGTATAAGTACTTAATAATTTTCTAGCAATTAAACTTAGATAAATCAAAATATTCTTTGTTAAGCAAATGATAGTCATTTATGTAAATAAAACAATATCTGCAATCTATATTTTGCAATGAATTCAATAACTACTTAAGTGTATTAAAAGACGAGTGACTACTTACTATGGAGACCTTCTGGAACTAGCTGTACTTTCAGATAGAGACTGTATTTGAATAGAACTAATATCATTTCGTCTATTTGTTCTTTCAGCACTAGCCTAAAACGATCAAATTATATTATGTAAAACAATAAAGAGTGCATCAAAACTCAGTGACAATATAATTTGTCTATTTTTAGACTTCCATTCCAAAATATGATCTTTGTAAACCTACATTTTGTTGGCTATTATCCTTATTTTCTTCTGCGTTTGATGAAGATTTTCGGATTGGTGGTAAAATAGTCATTGTCTCTGTACAAACTGTGTTTTTTTAATTCTAAATAACTGAAAATTTTAATGAACGACGATTCTACCTCACTAAAATATGTAAAATTTGTGATAGTGATGTCAAAATAAAGAGTCCACAGAACCCAAAGAGTCGGAAGCGTCAGAAGTCAGAATCGGGGTCGGGCGACGAACGACGAAATCATAAAGCACAGACACAGAACACGTAATTATATGACAGAAGTGGCGTTCGGTTTGGCCCTTTGACTATTTATATTCAAAGGTTTGGTCAGGAGCTGGAACGGGACAGGAGCGGAGTTTTTCTAGGGTGTTTTTAAATGACTGCTTGTTAAACTGTCACTAATCGGACAAACCGAACGCTAAAAGGGTCGTTTGGAGTTAAAAGTGTTAAAGGAACTTGGCAAACCGAACGCAATGAGACAAGGTAAGCAAATGGCATTCTGAACAAAATGGTTGCCCGTGGGTTATGAAATGGCAACACTGTTGAACTGGTGATTTATCAGGGTCAATGAAATAGATAACTATATAGATTGACCATCCATATTTGTCAAACTAAACATAAGCTTATGCCTTGAAGTAAAAATGTAGGTAATAATTTTTTTTATTCTATTTAACGCCTGAAAAGTGGTTTTAAAACACATTTTTGCTAAAGCAATTCTGATAAATGAGAACTTGCGAGGCAATATGGCCGCTCCCAAAACGACCCGCTTTGAGCAATCTATATATATATATATTTCATTGACCCTGTCAAAGTCCACAAGCAGCATTTTGACAGATCCAACAAAGCAATCAGTGAAATATAGTTATATAGATTGCTAAAAACAGGTCTCTTTGTGATTGCCTCGTAAGTGCTCATTAATCTGAATCATTTTAGCAAAAAATGTTTTCTTAAAACCAATTTGCTGCCTTTGAATAAAGTAAAAATAATTACCTGCATTTTTACTTCAATGCATGAACTTATTGTCTTTTCCATTGGAATGTTAAGTGTTGTTCTTAGTGGATTCTCACTTTCTTCTTTTCCATATCGACACAAATATATTCAGTGCGTATATACTGTCAGTGTTGATGGAAAACGCCATTAGTTTTTTTAAAAAATCTGAATGATCAATCTATATTACTATCTATAACATTGACCCTGTCAAATCCCAGGCCCACAGTTGCCATTTCTGTGGTTGCCTACAAGCACCCATTTTGTTTGGAATGTCTCAATGGGTGCTATGATTGAACGTTTACGTTATCCGTAACCCAGCTAGCACAAAAACATCCCATCTACGTTAATAAGCTGCAATTTTAGGCTCTTTAAGCTCGCATGCAATGTACTGTAAATGTAACCCTTATCTCCCTGCAACTACCGAATGTCCGCAACGGCAAGACTTTTATAACACATCTCACAGAAGTTACAAAGTGAAGTTCGAAAAACATCACACTAGCACTTTTACGGTACTTACCCCGAAAGTTGCTCTGAAACGTTCTATTGATGTTATAATGTGAATTAGATCTAACAGCATTATACAGTGTGTCCACGGATGGGCTTAACTATACTTGTGAAAATATTTATTTTAAATTAAAAAAGTAATTCTTCATAATTTCTTGCTTGTTAAATAAATTCGATTCACATTGAGAAATTATGAAAAATAACTTTTTCTTTAATTTAAAATAAATATTTTTACAAGTATAATTAAGTCCATCCATGGACACACATTGTGTAATGTAATACAGAGAGGCTGAAATTGAGGCTATAGTAAAATCTCAATCGAGACATGAAAATTTCAAATAAAACAAAATATTTATATAAATTTATTATTAAAATGTTCTTGAAATCAAGTACCAATAGCACAAAAGTAGAGGTAGGTGTAGGCGTGTTCTTTTATTCAGTGCTGTATCCAGCGCTTGCAGCAAACTGTTCGTAAATTAAGTGATGGAAAGACGATTGTATGTGTCAATCATTCTTTTTTCCAGCGGTGAATTCACCAATGAGCCAAGGCATCCATCGGCTTTAAAAGCCGATGGATATGTGATAGACGAATGGTGAGGATAATCAATCATTTAAGTTAACCTAAAATATAAGAGTTCAAATATAAAATGACTGCAGAATAGATAAATTACATCAATCACTGATGGAACAATTATTGAATAAAAGAACACACCTTATATCACAAACACAAGTACACATGTGGGATAGAAGAAGCTACCTAGAAAGCACTGAACGATTGGACAAAATTAGCTAAATAGTATAATAAGGTACCAATATTGCAAAGGTTCACTAAAACCTTAAATGGTGAACGATGATAAAGCTAGATTGGTGAAAAATAATAAACGAATACAACAATGACTAGGTACATATTATATTAGATTACTAGAGGATAGCTAAGTTCGCTGATTTCTTACCTAAGATGCAGAGATATATCTTTTTTAAATCAAGCCTTTTAACTTTTTTTGCATAGATATTTATAAAGTGCTATAATGTAACCTAAATATGACAATTTATTAGAAGAGCATAAATTATATTTTTATATAAAAAGATTTTACTTCTCAATACATTGAATAAAAAAGAAATTGATAACTTGTTTACCTATTATTAATTAAAGGAAATTATATAGAAATTAAAAAATATGCCTTACTTTGTTGTTTTAAATAAAACAACTAATGTTAGTGTATTGAAATTTGTTTGAATTTTACAAATTTTATGCTTGATTTCCAAAGTAGATATATTGATGGCTCAATCAAAAACCGCCACAAGTCAAAAAACAAAGCAATTACATTTTTGGTTCAATGGATGCAAAATATCATTACGGTTTTACTTTAAATACCACCACAAACAAAAATATCCTTAAAGATAAATCATTTAAAATGTAGCCACAAACTGTGTCTAAAACTGCCTCAATTCGAGTTATTTTCTTCAAAAACACCCAAATTTTTTACAACTATGCAACAACTCACTTTTATAATCGTAATCATTTTATTTAACAGCAAAATATCGAAGCTTTTAAATAAAATATAAAGAGTATGTCAAAAACAAAATAATGATAATAGAGACTTACAAAATTTCAAAATGAAATTTCTCGAAATAATAGTATTTTAGTTGTGGCAGTATTTGATTGAGCCATCGATATGTAGATTTTATAAAAAACAACTGGTGTTTTTTAGCAAGATATTCTATTATACTTGAGAGTATCATCTATGATTTCTTTCAACTTTTCTGCTGGGTTTTCACTTGAAATGATGGTTGCATTTCCAGGCAATCTAGCCTGTTGAAGAAAATGAACTGCTTGAATTCTGATATACCTGACATATCATGTACCTATAGATTCACTTTTTATAAAACTTCAGGTGTTATATTCTTCTTTACACTTCTGTAGTATTTACTTTTGCTTCTAAAATTCCTAGAATGTCGAAGGAAACCTAAAAAATAATATTTTTAAAATGTATTTTTAGTTGGATAAAGTATAATTACCTTTTATAAGTATTTGGTGTAAAATGTTGCCGGACATTCGGTTAAATGTTTATCTTCTGGTTTACAACGATTGATCTGCAATTCTTTGTATTTATTGTAGTTTTTTTTTATTTGGTGTCATCGGCATCGACTGCTAAAGATACTTAATGAATGAAATAATAAATTTACATCAGGCATTGTAATCTGAAACAAAGACAATGGTTTAGAAAATATTTATCTATTTTATAGAGGACCCTTACCAAATGTATTCGAATGTAAAAATAATAATTATTTATAAAATAAATTCTGGATGTCGAAAAATAAAGCATTAAAAAAGACAATTGACAAGAAAAACTGACAAGTGACAATTGACATAAAACTAAACGTTCTGAATTCAGATTTGTAATGTTTACGGTAGGTTAACTAGGTAAATAACAAATAGAAGTTTTGCGAGGTTTTGATTTCCCTCAACAACTTCTCATGAACGTTGCATTTACGTTGTATAGTAATGTTATTACGTTCCCTTAATGCAACATCGCCGAAAGGCTTGGCAACGTTATGTGCTAGCTGGGAACGTACATGTTATGCCGAATTTTAAAAGTAACGAGGCAAGTTCGTATGATGGAAACCTGTTAAATTAGAACATAACAGGCGGAAAATAACAGTAATGTGTTATGAAAGACTTTACATCATACGAATTTGTCTCTTTGCTGTTAAAACTCGGCCTAACATGTACGTTACGGATAACGTAAACGTTCAATCATAGGACCCAATGAGACATTCCAAACAAAATGGGTGCTTGTGTGAAGTCTATTGGAAAGCATTCGATAGCCGATACTGTATGTTGATGTTTTAATTACTATCATCATTGCGTTCGGTTTGCCACGTTCTTTTAACTCCTTTAACACTTTTAACTCCAAACGACCCTTTTAGCGTTCGGTTTAGTCCGATTAGTGACAGTTTAACACGCTTAAATGTCATTTAAAAGCACCCTAAAAAAGTCCGTTTTTGTCCCGCTCCAGCCCCTGACTATCCGAACTCGCCTCATGTAGGCTGCTAGTTTACTTTTCATGATGATGTATATATTTAGAAAAATATATAAAAATGTTGCTTACTTTAAAGTAAAAATAATAATTTTTTGGTATTATTTAACTCATTTCTATATAGCAGAAATACTGTGTAAAACATTTGAAATATTTATTTCCATTCATAGTGGCTTAAACCGGCCCAGCATGTACATTACCCGCCGGCAGTGTTGACCTTGTATTTTCGCCACATAATAATTAGAACATACGTTTTATTAAACTAATCGTGTTACGTATTTGTTGACATAGGAGATAGAAATTGAAAGTGACGTTATGTATTACTTCGAATGAAAAATCGATAATGCGAAATTTGTTAACCTATAAAAACGTGACTTAGAAGGTTCGATCTTTGAATTAGTCGTTTATATTTAGCAGCAATACATTTAGATAAAAATCAGTATAAATATATTTGTTTAAATCCTTATTGAATAATTTCAGTAGGGGATTTGGAACGTACTGTTGACAGCTGACGTATCTGTCAATGTTTTTGACCAATGATTGATTTGACAATCTGCGTAAAGTGAACCCTGTGAGCTTAGGCTTATACCTAAGGGTATAGCACGAGTTTTTATTCCCTACGAAATTAATGAAAAATCAAAGTATATCGACAGTAGAACGTGTTTGGCAATAAAAAGTAAATAATTTATAAAAGTTACATAACAATCATCGATGTCCTGTCGTTCATGTGTAGTGTTGTGACGGTGTAAAATTTCAAGTGTGTTTGGAGATACCATGCTTTACTAAACCAACATGGTTACAGTTCCACTCCATATTGTTCCATCAGAATTTATTTTCTGCTAAATTCGTTAGCGGTTCATTAAAATAGAGAAAGTACAACAAGGATGGATACACGTGCGCCTCCTACACCAGTTGGTGTTCAGGATGACACCAAAGAGGCAGGGGCATCTTATGCACATGCCGTCTTAAATTTCAAACAAACAAATAACAGTACCAATAACAATAATAACAAGGAAAATATCGAAGAACCAGGAAAGGATAATATTGTACAACTAGTTGACAGCTCAAAGCAACCTGAGGAGCCTAAACAAATAATACCTGATGAAGAGGATACTTTTACTCCAGTCGTAAGTCACAGTCGCAAGGAGCGCAAAAATGAAAAAAAGAAAAAACTAGCAGCCACAAGTGACAAACACGATAAGGGTGAACATCCCTTGAGGGAGAAAGGAAAAGAATCACGTTCTGGTCCAAAAGAAAAACGTGATGAAAAAGAACCATCGGCTGTGAGAGATCTTGGCGAAGATCAAAGTGATTCTAAAAAAGTTTTTGTTGAAGCTCCAATTCCCAAAGTGAACCCTTGGCAGGTCAAACAAGCTCTTCCATCTACCCAAAAAGAAGAGGCTACTACCACTGTTGCTGCTGCTACCACTGCTGTTGTTGCTACTCCTATTGTTGTTGCTACTCCTGTTGTTGCTGCTACCACTACTGTTATTGCTGCTCCTGCTGCTACTACAGTTGTACCTACTGCTTCTACAGAGAAAAGAGTATTACAACCAAAAAATAAAGAAATTGTTGATAATGGGCCAGAAGTTTCTGGAGTTGTTAAGGCACCTAGAGATAAACGAAGATATAATCAGAAGGTATTTATTATAAAATTATTGCCAGTAGTCATTAATGAGCCATTCTCATCTAAGGAAATCTTTGTAGGTTGAAATGGGCATGTCTGTACCACACTCCGATCACTTTTAGAATTTAAATTTTACACCTGTCACATTTCCATATTCCCTTTCTTGTCTTGCAGTTTGTTTTTAACAAGAAACATACATCAAAATAATCTAAAATTAAAGAATATTTTCATTTATTTCTAAAAAAAAAATCCTTATTCTCAGAATTTGTTTTGACAGTATCTCTGATAACTCAAATTTACTTTATCCTATATTTAAAAAAATTGTATATAACCCTGGAAACTATGTAATGATTCTGTGAGAGCAGCAGTGGTACTGACATGCTTATTTAAACCTGCCTTAACTACAATATTACCAAAAGCTATTGGTATTTTTGTGAAATATAAAATATAATGACTACTATTCATGTCATATATTCAGATAATTTTAACAGTATGTTTACTGCACACCAATAGATAAATACTCTCAATATTAATTAGATAAATGCTCATTTGATTTGGCAATAACAATCTTAATATAAACTGTTTATCACATTTTTTAAATATTCCCTTTTGGAAATAAAATTATTGCAACAAATTATCAAAGATATTTTTAATTGACGAAATTTTTATTTGTTAATATCTTGTAGATGAAATGAATTTTTAAATGTTTACACAATATTCAATTATTCAACAACAAAGTTTAAATCCCCTTCTATCTAGGTATTGGAAGAACCAGTTTTGTTACATAATACAATAAGCAGGTACCTTTTAAAATTTTGTCCATTGATTGATTTTAAACTGGTTACAATATTTTAAGAATACTATATTTAGTTATTTATTTTAAAAAAGTTTTGGTGTTCTAATTATGTCATCCACAAACAACTAGTGCAGGACAAACTATTTTTGTGCCAAAAAATCCTGGTGTGGGTACACACACACATTTTTATTTTGTAAACAAACCGTTTGATACTATTGATTCTTGCTAGAGATGCCAGTATTAGATAAATAAATAATTTGCACTGTGCACACTTTTGGTAAGTAGGTATCTAAATAATATTTGTCAATGGGTAAATTGTACTAGTGAAAAAAAAATTCAAAAAATTTCTGAAAAGAAAAAAATGATAAATAACATTCTATTTTGAATTTTGAACCAATGCTAAGAAAATGAAGATATATGTATATACAATACGTTTTAATTTTCAAATCCTGACTCCAGAAGAAAAGTAGAGAAACAATGCTATTGAAAAGGCAGAAATATAATAAAATATCGCTGAGTACAGACTGCAATATCCCATGCTTGCCATCAAAAGGACATGGTTGAACCAATTACTCTCTTTATACCTTTCATGTCCAAATATAATTAAGCTCACATCTTTATATTGCTTGATGGGTTGGTTAACACACTGTACAACCTACAGATCTTTTACTCTTGGCAATACATGTACTTTTTATGCAGTATTATTTGGAATTATGTGGCATTATGATTGAATTACTTTGCACTACTGGAATTACCACATTATTACCTGGAATTATAATGGCAGTATTGGAAATTATAATGGCAGTATTGGAAATTATAATGGCAGTATTGGGAATTACAATAGCAGTATTGGGAATTACAATGGCAGTATTGGGAATTACATTGGCATTTAATCACATGTACTTGACTTCAATGTTTATATTCATAACCCAAATCATTTAATATTGGTTTCCTGTAAAATGTAGTGGATTTTAAAGAGTGCTTATTGAAAAAATATATTACACAATGCTAGTATATGATTTTTTAAATAAAAAATTTAAAAACGTTTCTTAGAATAGTATCTTAACCCTGTATTTATTTATTTATTTTTTTATTTATTTATTTATGATTTAGGTACATATACATTTTATATTTCACAGTTAGTCACTTAATAAGAAAAAACACCTAGGTGTGTCGATCTGTGTGTGCTATAGTATAAAAATAACAAACTAAAGTATGAATTTACAGACCGACATTCATATGGGATATTCTCAGAATAGGGGCAATTTCAGTGTCCCTTATGATTTTCAGCCTAAATAACCAAAGTTTGAAATATTTTTGCCTGGGAGCATATACACATCTCTCGACCTCTATTGATGCACCACTAATTAATTTTCTGTTATAGTTATTTTTTTATAATTTTTTTTTAGTGAAAAATGTCACTAACATGGACTGTCCTTTGAAGGAGTCCAGTGAATCAAAATTGATTTAAGCAAGAAGAAAATAAGTTTTTAATATTTTTTAAATGTGCTTCTCTTAGATGAAGCTTTATATAACTACATAATCACTTTTTAGCGTAAAGCTAGAGATAGTTAATATTTTATCAAAAATTAAAATTTGTCCCTGGCATTTTCTGTCATTAACATGGACTTCATAAATTCACTGCATCTCGATGACAGGGAAAGAATTAGAACCATGACAACATTGGTAAATAACCATTAAAACAAATACTATTTAGGTACAGGACAACTCTTTGAACTATTAGTTTTGAGGAAGCCAGTGTGAGTGAAGGTTTGCCAAATATTCGGAGATTATGTTTAATAGGTGTCATTAACATGCCTCATGTAAGTATTTTATACTGCTAGTTCCATTTTAAAAAATATGTAGTTAAAGTAGCTTGAGGGAATGTTGTTATAGACTCATCTTAAAATTTTTTATATTTATTTAGTCTAATCAGATTTTTACTAAAAATGACATTCTTGTCATTAACGTGGACAGAGAAAATATCATTAACAAGGACAAAATTTTTCATAGCATAGTCAATTGACCTCAATTTTACTTAAATGTTTATTTTTAATTTGAAAAAAGAAATAAATTTTGTGTTACTTAATTATTTATTTTTCATTACTCCTACATGTATCATTTCTGTCAAGACATGTCATTGTCATGGACATCATTTGTCATTAACATGGATTGCTACGGACATGTTCTTTTTATATATATTAAAGCTGGATAAAATAAATCTTTACAAGTGCCACGTCAATTTTCTAAAATCAGTAATAAATTCTATGTTACTTTATTTAATTTCTTAATTCAAGTCAAAAATGTCATTAACATGGATATCATTTGTCACTAACGTGGACTTTTTGTTATTTTTTGAGAGAATAAGTAACTTTTAAGAACTGCTAGTACATGAACATAGTTGCTTATTCATCACTGATGACATAACATAGATCAAACAAACAAAAAAAATTTTTTGTTGAATTTTGACTTGCACAAACTGCCCTTATTGATAGGAATGACCCATATATAATATAGTGATGATAACAAAAAAAAAATAATTTTTCAATTTGGGATCAATTTACAAAATCTCCTTGAATAAATCTAAATTAACAGTAACATTTTGTTTAGCTCCGAGTCAAAATATACGCAATTTGGTTAAAGTTTTTGTTTATCAGTAGCTTATTAAAAATTTTGGGAGCAATTTTGGTTACAAATCATTGACTGGTGTCACGTTGACATATAGGTGTCAACAAGCTGTTATATGATTTGGCTCTTATGTTGTTTTTTATATATATGAAAATACAACATAAGTATAAAGTGTTCATCATTGTACAGGAGAGCTGTCAGGTAAAGTTATGGTTTTTTTTAGATAATTATTTTGACAATGCGATTTTGGTTATATAAGGTTATATAATATAACTCCCCCCCAAACAATAATTCTCCCATATCGAAAGGATGAAGTAAAAAAAAAATAATTTATAAGGAATGATAAAAAAAATATTTCTAAATAAGGCAATCGATAAAATGACTCATATCTGAAGGTGCAATTCTTCTTTTTTAATTTATAAAGTTTTTAAAGAAAAGTTTGGTCTTAATTCAGAGGCATGTGTAGTAATTACAGGTGTGGCCCTTACACATCTCTGCCTTTGTCAGTCATGGCTAGATTTAAAAACATTTTCTTTAGATCACACATTATTTATATTACAAGTATCTTAAATCTAAAAATTTGTATTATATCCATCATAATGATAAATTAAAGTTGAATGAATATCTTAATGTATTTAAAAAAAATCCAATTTTGACTTAAAAAAATCGCTATCTGTAAAGACTACTTAAAATTTTTATCTTTTAAGGATATAATTTTTAAGAAGCTCGAACACGTTAATTCATTTTTTAAATTTCATGGTCACATTACAAGCACGTTGTATTTAAAATTCCCACTAATATTGGAATCAAAATGTATGCAAATTTAGTTTTCCTGATAACAACTGTATTAATGAGTTTTTGATAATTTCTTTTGTAGTAAAATCAGAACATGAAATGCCCAGATCTCATGTTAGTTGAAAAACAAAATATTTATTTAATTGTATAGTAAATGTATTTACAGAAATTTCTACATTGTCATAGGCGCCCTATAAAAGTTTTCCTTCATGTACTTTTTTTCTTATTGCTCTCGTGTATCTAATTAAACTAAGTTTATTATTCAAGGTGTGGCATTAATAAAAAGCCATAGGATAACTAGCATAGGCCCAGAAATATTCAATTCTGCAATTCTCTTCTAACACCGATTTTAACATAATTACCCCTCCCTAATATTTATTGTGGCGACGCTCATGCATACGGTCTACCTTGTCAAGGTAATATACATAAAAATTAAAAAAATAATACGCCCGTTTACTGGATTAAAAACAAGTCTGGTTAGTTGTTTAACTGTATTATATTAGCATATGCTATATGTAACGATATGAGATATAATATCCTACTAATCTAAATAATTGTATCTAGTTAATATTGTCTCATAGTTATAAAATTAAGAAATATGCGTTCTAAGACAAATGAAAGACACAATGTATGTTAATTTATTATGAATAAATATTATAAGACAGTTTTTGTAATAGTCGTGGACAAAAATGTCATGGACACTATTTCTTTTTTTTTTTATTATTATTGAATTCCAGTTAATACGAATATCTTTTCTTAAGAAACAAATTTTAAATGAAGTAATTTTATTTGATAGTTTGAACTCAGAACAAATTTATGTAAAAGGTACATTTTAAGAAAGCTTAAATTTCATAATTTTTATGAACCATAAAATATTAATTTCCCTTAGTATTAAAAAAAATACCAGTAAATATATGTAAGACAATTTGTTGTAGTAAAAAAATAATTACCTATATTTTTACTTCAGGACATTTAAAAAAAGAAAAGATGATCAATCTGGAGTGCAAAATTAACAGGACATCCATATATTTTTCCTAAAAACTGGGTTTTAAAAAAATTAAAATGTTCCTAATCAAATATTTAATAATAAACAAAATTTTAAAGGGAAATTTATTACAAATCAAGAATTTAATATAGAAAAAAAAATTGAAAAATCTGCAAAACATTTTTGAATAAAAAGCGATATTTAGTAGAGCGTATTGCATCCAAGAATCCTAATCACGTCTCTCAATTCAATCAGGCTTACTTTGGATTAAGACAGGGATTTGCTCCCATTCGTCATGAACTGCTTGCTCCAAGTCACTAATGGTGTGTAACTTAACATGGTTATGTTGAATAAGTCATCCCAGAATATCCCATGTATTATTGGATTTAAATTGGGGGCAATAGAAATATTTTATTCTCAGTAATACATACATGTTTACATAGTCGTCAGTACACATAAATGGTAAAATACACCACATTTTACATACATTAACATACAGCATACTTGTATAAAATTTAAAATAAAATAGGATTTTAAAAGATCATGGTTGGTAATATTAATAAAAAATATATAAAAAAATACAATATTAAAAATATTAGGTGACATGTTTCACTCTTACAAAATAATCATTAGTGATATATAGACACATGTCCAGTAATATCTTTTTATTTGATGTTTAAACTTGTTTCCTGGTAGATTACGGATGTGGGGCGGAAGTGCATTATAGAATGAAATGCCTATTGTTCGGGACTTGTTTATTCTAGTTCTCGTTTGGATTAGCTGATTTTTCCCTCTGGTATCGTATGTATGATTGTTTGAGTGATATGTGAAGTTTCCCAAATTATTTTTTATGGCTAGCAAGTTTTCAAATACTATTTGCGAAAACAGGGTCATTATGCTAAGTTGCTTAAATAGTGATCGGCATGGTTCATAATAGTATAGAGCGAACTGCTGATTTTTGCAAGATAAAAAGTCTTTGTAGTGAAGTAATGCTAGCATTTCCCCAAGTTAGAATCCCATGTGTTAAATTGGAATGGACTAAGCCATAATAAGTAGTTATTGCTGCTTCTGTATTAACTATATTTTATGTATTGTTTGTTCAAAATTAAACTGAAGTAACAAGTCGGTGAGTTGTCTTGTCTTTTACATTAAAATCCCCACATATAATGATTTTACTATTTTTGTGTTTAGCTTCTAATAGTAATAAAGGAATCCCAGCGTTCATCTAAGTGGGCCTGTGTCATTCTTGCATTATCTTGCATCAAACAAAAAATTTACTCAACAAATGGGACAAATATACATTTCAACGTTTAAATTACTTCCTGGAATTGTAGCAAAGCATAAAATAAAATTAAAACAAAAAAAATAAGAATGTTTTTACCAAAAAACGAAGCAGTACATAAAAATCTGAGTGTCTGGTTAATTTTGCACTCTAATGTAACTATATATATCATTGACCCTGTCAAATCCATCATGACATTTAGCAACCATTTTGTTTGTAATCAATAAAGTCATAAAAATACATTGTTCTCATTCTTGGGCCCCAAGCTGTGTGTCCAAGGCTTAAGACGGTTCTGTTAGAAGCTATAGTTTATAACAGTAAAATAACAATAGTATTCTAATTTTAAAATTTACGATGTTATTTAGAATTTTTCTATAATCGCTATGTTAATTAACAACAACTTCCGCCAAAATAGCGAATAAACATAAATGCATGATATTATCTCTGTTGAAGCTATTTAAAACTATTATGCGGGATATTAGTAATAAAAAATATGATGTGTCCAACACATGACTTTCATGTAGAGTTATCAAAAATATTGAGTACGGTCCATTGTTTGTCAACTGTGAAATAAAATATTTTTTTTATATTATTATCTTAAATTTCTAATTAATTATTTAAAGTTATTTAAATGTCTTTTGAAGGATTTTGTTTGAAATGTATTAGGATCAAATTGATAAAGGGCTCTGTCACCGTCCACCCACATTCCTTATAGGATGTCGTTTTTTACTTTAAAGAATATTTGTTATTTACAATTGGAGAAGAAAATTCTTGAAATAAAAGTTGTTTGCGATATCATTTTTCTTCTATACATACATACTAAAAGTGTAAAATTGAAATTGTTCAGTATTTTCGGATGAGAGGGTTGAACCTAATACGATTTTTATATAAAATTGGTTTAAACTTCCAAAATACCCAGTATAACATATACATGTTGGTATTTTCTTGAAGGGCAAAGTCAGGGGAATTCAAATTACAATTAAATACAGGGTGGTCCATTTAAAAAAACATAGGTTTGATCAATTCTGAAGTTATAGATCACTCTGTATAATCGAAAATAATTTTGAACTGTGCAGATTAATATTATCTACAACTTTTGTAAATGTTTGATATTTTCTATAATATAGGATATATCGAACTTCCACACACTATTGGGAAACCCTGTATGTAGAAAATTGTTTCGAGTAAGATTTTTTGTGTGAAAAATGTATGTATTTAGTTCATTCTCTAAATATTTACAGGGGTGATACAATAAGTTGTACAGAATAACCGGAAAAGTTTATAATAACTTTAGGTAAGACAGGAAAGACATCAGATTTTTAATAGAGCAATAATTCTTAAAATTGTACCTACTTATTATTTCGAAATATCTAATATAATTATTATTTTTGATGATATATTCAGTTTGTTGAAACTACAAGTAAAATACTTCGAACACAAAATAATATTGTTCGAAGATTCTAAACATAGGTGGCTCACCTTTTTGGGCGGCGAGCCAAATTTAATAACTCATTTTTAATTGTTTAGTGCGTATCATATAGATAAAAAAACAAGGAACAAAAACAGTATTTGGCATCGCTTTATTTACACATAAGTGTAACAAGTTATGTATTTACATTTTTGTTATGCCTACGAAATAAATAAATATTTTGTTTATAGTTGAAGAAAAAAAAAAATGAAAATATTAGAAACATATGAGGATAAGAAAAAGTATACATGGTAGTTTCTTGACAATTCTTAGATGTCTTGCACCCTTTTAACGATTAGCAAACCACTGTAACGTGAAGATTTTAGTAAAGTGGATTGACTCGGTTATTTTCCTGTTTTTGTTTTTTTTTTTTTGTTTCAAGTATTGTACTCGTCGATTCCGGCTATTATTAACAGCGATTGAATAAAGTGAGAAGATTCTCTGGTCCCAATATTGGCCGCATAATATAACTTAGCCAGTCCATACTATTTATTGGTGAAAGATAACATATTGACGGGAAGTGCTTCTGAAAACCTTTTTACAAATAAATGAGTAATTATTGGTGGTCCTTAAGTAATTGTACATAGAAGTATGGTAGATTCCTCACTTTAAAATATTACGATTTAAACCAACTTGCTTTATTAAAATGTTGCTAATAAGAAACGTACAAGGTGTTAAAGGTTAAATTTTAAGATTTCTTTTTTGCAATAACTTTAACGTTTTTGGATATGTATATACAAAAATTTGGAAATAGAGGTTTTTGGGCACGAAAAATCATAATCTGGTACCTACTTCGATGTAATTTGTAGAGGGCGCTACATGGGCTACATTTGTGGCATAAATGTGCCCTAAATTTTTTTGATGTTTAATTTAGCGGTATTTTTGTAAAAGAATATTAAAGCCACGTTATTTTAATAGAAGAAGTATACTTATACTTGTTATTAACCTTAAAACTTAACGGTTTACGATATAATCGCATTTTAGGGATCAGCTGCATTATTATTATTGAAATCATTGTTAACAATTTCTTAGGACCATACAAGTTACCCCGTAATTTGAATGGTGAGAACTACTTACATTTTTTGCAAAATGATTTCATTAATCTATTGGAAGAATTGCCACTGAATATAAGACAAAACATGTGGTTCATGCAAGATGGTGCACCGCCGCATATTACGAGAGCAGTCAAAACATATTTAAATAACAACTTTCCTGAACGCTGGATTGGTCGTGGTAGCCATTTCCCTTGACCATCACGTAGTCCAGACTTGAATCCTCTCTATTTCGGTATATGGGGTGCAATAAAACAACTTGTTTACAAGGATCCCATAAATACCGGCGACCAACTTTGGGAAGAAATAGAGCAGCGGGTTTTTTTTTGATCCAATGATGTTTAATATGAGACGATCTTTTATGGAACGTGTAGATAAATGTATGGACGAGAATGGAGGACATATCAAACATTTAATGTGACACAATTAAAGTTATAATGTTATTTAGATTTGTTTTCTCAATAATAATCATGCTGCTGAATCCTAAAATGCGATTATATCGTAAACCGTTAAGTTTTAAGGTTAATAACAAGTATACTTTTCTTCTATTAAAATAACGTGGCTTTAATATTCTTTTACAAAAATACCGCTAACTTAAACAGCAAAAAAAATTAGGGCACATTTATGCCACAAATGTAGCCTATGTAGCGCCATCTACAAATTACATCGAAGTAGGTACCAGATTATGATTTTTCGTGCCCAAAAACCTTTATTTCCAAATTTTTATGTATACATATCCAAAAACGTTAAAGTTATTGCAAAAAAGAAATCTTAAAATTTAACATTTAATACCCTCTATACTTATTAGCAACATTTTATTAAAGCAAGTTGGTTTAAATCGTAATATTTTAAAGTGAGGAATCTACCATATTTCTATGTACAATTACTTAAGGATCACCCTGTATAATCAAAATTTTTAAATTACCCTCTTTTTAGAATAAATCATCTTCATTATTCTTCTAAATGTGAGAACAGAAAAAACTGACTGTACGTTTTTATTTCAGGCTAGTGATTTTACTGATATTTGTGATTGGCCAACTCTTGGAACTAATGGTACAGAGGTAAGTCATGACTATAGCCTTTATAATCTTGAGCATGCCCTGTATAGTCTGTCTGGGTATGGGGTTTTATTAATACATAATAATATATTGTGCAACAAGTGCAGAAAGTAACCTATTCTGCACGAGTAGCACACTACAGGTCGCGAAAATTTAAACACCATCTAAACCAGTATCATGCATCCATCGTTCTTCGCTGATCAGCGGTTTTTATTACATGCATGGTCATATTATACCTTGTTCAATTCATTGTAAAATAGACAATCTGCTATTAAATTTTCATGTATGTATACTTTTTCTTGAACAGCTATGACTTAATTTGCTAAACTATACAGGATGTCCCAAAATTGCTGGGACTTAGAGCTACCAGCTACTCTAGTGTATAGTACGAGCAAAAGATATAGTGACTTTAAAGCCAGCCGGCAACATACAAAAAAACTAAGGATACTGATTCATTAAATAAGTAGGGGAGCATTTCAGAGAATGAGTATACTTATTTTATTTTTACTTCCCTCGATAAAAGAAAAGTATTGTAATCATGAACATTTAGATTATCACGTTTTCGGGTCCCTAGATTACGAAAAACATGTTTTCCCCATGCCGTCGGTCTGTCTGCCGTCCGCCGTCTGTTGTCTGCCGTCTGCCTGTTGGTCCGGTAGCTCAAAAACACGCCTTGAATTTTTTCTCTTTCGCCGTTTTTGAGCTACCGCGCCAACAGACGGACTGCAGACAACAGACGGTGGACAGACCGACGGAATAGGGAAAACATGTTTTTCGTAATCTAGGGACCCGAAAACGTGAAATCTAAATTTTTACGATTACAATACTTTCCTTTTATCGAGGGAAGTAAAAATAAAATAAGTATACTCATTCTCTGGAATGCTCTCTACTACTTTAAAGGTGATGTATCAGTCTCCTTAGGTTTTTTGTATGTTGCCGGCTGGCTTTAATTTCATACTATATCTCTTGCTCGTACTATACCATCTCTGTTTATTAATTTTATTACTATGTTAGTGGAGTTGGCAGATTATATGAATAATTATGGATTGTCAGAAATACTCATATGTGTCAAATAAATCAAATATTGCAGTCTCTTATTTGTATCCAAATGAACTATTACCACTATATAACCCCACAAATTGACAACCCCGTAATTTGTGGGGGTTATATAGTTACATAGTTGTATTGTATAGTTATATACTTGTAGCGGTTAATTTTGATTTTTATTTTCATAGTGGTGGTCATTTTAGTATGTATATAAATTATGTCCAACGGACTTATTTTGACCTCAACAATACGGGGTACAATATGTTTCAGCAATTTTGGGAGACCCTGTATAAACTTATTTAATTTTTTTTATTTCAATTTTAGATATACAAAAATTAATATTAACATTACAATTTAAAATATTAATAGGTGGTAAATCATGGACTTTGATAATGATGGTTTGAGTATGTTATCTCTACAATGACTATCAATTTTCTAGTTAGTAATTCTGAATATTAAATCTCAATTTTTTTTCGTATTTGCTTTTATTTATGGACAACTAACATTGCAGAAATGCTTGTTTTTTGTCAAATTTCCTAATTTTTTTAATATTGCCCCAACTATTTCAAGCCTAATTTCTTTAAGATTGTAAGAAATATTTCCCTTCCGCTTTCAGAGTACTATTTCTATTATACAATGCTGCAAAGATCTAATCTTCTGGCCTGCTTTGCTTGTGTTGAAGTGAATAATACGATACAGAATCAATGTTGCCACTCACAAGTCGATTTAACAATCGGCAGCGCGCTAGCACTGTAGGGAAATATATATTTATTTTATTGAATATTACAAGTAATTCCCAACTACAGATAAAACGTAATCGCCAAAGATTAGAAATTTTCTACACCCACATGGATTGAAAGATGAGAATCCCAATGCTGTTAAAAATTATTTATTTTAATGACAACATCGCATTTACGATTCATTTGAACTAATTTTCAAGGATTAGAAGAACTAATTTGAAAACATAAATATACAAACCCTCAATTTTCAATTCAAAACCAAAACTTTGCTTCACTGTGGGAAAATAAACTCAATAGATACAACGAAATTGGTTCTGTAATATTAACTATAGCTACATCTTTAAAAACCGAAAACTATTTTTAAAATCTACTTTTGGCAACTGAAATGGATCGCTAAAGTTCCTAATTGACCTTTGATGTAATCGAAATTCATTTTCCAGTAACTCTACAATCAAAAAAAATATCTCCATGTCATCAATCATTTTTTAGGTCCGTCGACACGTATTAAAGAACACTGATTTAATTGAATTCTATAGTAATAACCGAAAGGATAATTTGCGTTCTATATTTTCCTTCAGTTTTGTCAGTACAACAGTTGTATATAATAAGTATTTGATCGAAATAAAGTCTGTAGCTTCGGGAGCAGATAAGTTAAATATTCACATGCTACTTCTTTGCTGTCCTGAAATTTTACCTATAATTACACATATCATAAATATGAAGATTTGCGTTCCATCTCTATCCTACCAGTGTTATCCAAAGTAATTGAAAAATTCATGAAATTTCAATTAAATATTCACACAGAAAATAATGAAATACTTCCACTGCTATAGTCAGGTTTTCGTTCTGGCTATAGTTGTACTACAGCTCTACTTGAAGTCACTGATGATTTCTTCAGAGACATTAATGCTAAAAAACAGCAGCACTTGTTATGCTCGATACATGCATTTGATACTATTAATCAGATAATTTTACTCTCAATATTGGTTGCTCTAATGATGTTATTAGACTATTTAATAGCTACCTTGATAACAGGAAGCAATTTGTAGTGACTGATGCAGGTTCATCAAATACTAAGCAGATTTCCTGTGGAGTTCCTCGGGGATTAAGAATGGTAAGCCATTTTTTTATGCAGATGATACTCAAATTAAATTTTCTTTCGATCATGATAATGCTTTAGAAGCAAGTAATCATATTAATGAAGATCTTGACAGACTAGTTAGACTTTCAAATATTCATCAACTTAATATTAATTCTTCTATAAGTGTGGTAATGTTATTTGGTAAATACCGACAGAATAAAATGCAGATTCTAGTTGATGGGAATATATTTCATTTTCCTCATCTGCTCGCAACTTAGGTTTAGTAGTTGATAATGGCTTGAGGTTTCTTCACGTTAACAAGTGCATTCAAACAGCTTATATGAATCTAAAAATACTTTACCCAGATCGACATATTCTTCCAACTTCAACAAAAATATTATTAACAGATTCCCTGGTTCTGAGTAATTTTAACTTTTGTGATACAGTGTTTAGATAGCGCAGACTTAACTAGAATTCAGAGAGAACAGAAATCTTGTTTAAGATTTTCATATGGAATACGGAAATTCGGCAGAGTCTCACTTAAACTCAAGGATTCAAACTGGCTAGATATGAAATCCAGACGAGTCTTACACTCGGCAAATCTATTTCGTTCTATTATTTTAAATAAATCTCCACATCTTCTTAATAAAATAAGGTATCGTTCTGATGTTCATAATCTAAATCTACGTTTTTGTGGTCGTATCTCACCTCCAATAAATAAAACTGCTATTTTCAGACGGTCTTTCACCTATAACATTTACGCTTTGTACAATGATATCCCAGAACGTTTTAAAGAAATGTCTGTAAAAAATTTCTTCTCGACACAGCAAAGTAATAGCTACCTACATTTTAGAATATTCATATTTTGTTAAAAAAAAAGTCATATTGGTTTATATACACTGGCGAGCAAAAAATTGAGGTCACTTCAGAAATTTCGAATAATTTTAACGTCAATATTGATAAGGACATAATAGTATTAGAAAAAAATGCATTTCTGTTTAGTATAAAGTATCACATTCAGCTTACAAAAGCACATGCAATGATGTACAGTTTGCGAATACGATCTGAAAACGTAAAATTTCAAAGAACATGAATATTTTAAGGTGACCTCAATTTTTTGCTCCCAGTGTATATTGTTTTTTGTACGATGTCTTGTGGTGTTGGACATATTTCATGGCTGGTGCTTTGATCAGTCTCTACTGTTCACTAGTCCTTTTTGCAGCCTTCTTTGGCACATGTTTTCTTTTTCTTATGTTTTATATCTGTATAAAAAAAATTGAAGTTGCAAATAAAGTTTATTATTATAAAACGCCATTATCGGTTCCGTTAAAAATTAAAAGGTGAATTTTAACATCCCTTTAAAAATGATAATTATTAGAGGACTATTTTAAAGGAATCCGTTTAAATAATGACAGAAGTAAGTTAGCGAATACGAAAATATTTTTAAAGGCCTCCAATATTTTAACTGCCGTTAAAATATAAAGGAATTGTTACAGAATAGACTTCAATATGTAATTAGTATTACATGTAACTAGTTTTCGATTAATTAAATTAATTATTACAGCATATATTTCAGTTTTCGGATCTAAACTGATTTTCTCACATATCTTTGTGATATATTTCTGTTTAAACAAAATTCCAATAACTACGAAATTTCAAGACGATCCGGTTAACAACAAATTTAATATTCGCAAATATGTGTGCATTCGAAGTTTTAGTATCGTGTAATTTCGGAAATTTTATGCATTTTAGATAAAAAAAAGTTGAGCGCATTTCAGTTCTGACAACATAATGAACAGCGGACATTATGAAATATGGCTTCCTTGTTACATTTCGTCTCAGCCCTTTAATAAAACGCGCACTTAAAATAATTATAATCGAAATTTGATATTTAATGGAATGCCGTTGTGTACAGTGATTCCTAATTATATATGTATATGCAGGTTCGTAATTTTTACATGTTTAATATTATTTATAATCTCGTTTTTTATGAATTTTATCTATACTTAATTTACGGTTTAAAAAATGTAAAATTATTGCGTATTTAAATCACTTGGTTTAAAAAATCTTTTGAATTATTTACTGTGCGATACAGACTGTAATTTCAATTAATTTCATATTTAAAAAAAATGCGT